TCAACTACAGCTATGAACACTGAGAAGGTAGGGAGGAAAAGGAACCATTTAGCAACTGTTACACCTTTCGTATCTCTACAACTTCTGGAGTCCTCTGTGAAATAGCAAATGATGATCTCAGAAATTAATGTATTATTTTTCTTTGAAACTATTTCAACAATTTTTTTGCAGGCTAAATATCTGCTCTCCCATGCTATAAGCTGTCTCCAGGAGCTGGCTTAGCTGGCTGAACCTGAGTTAAGATGCAGACATTGCTACCTCTTGTGGCAGATTGGTGTGCTCATACAAACTACTGAGGCTTCTGAAATTCTTGGATACGATTGCAAACCCTGCACTGCATCTTGTGTGTTAGCAAACTAGGAAAGCTGGAAGGTAGGAAATATTCGGACTTCACAATTTTATCCATCTCTTCAATGAACTTAAAGTTGGTAACCTGTTACAAAAGGAATTAACAGAAATTTGTCTGGCATAACACTACCCAGCAGCTTCCCATCAAAATCCAGAAAGAGTGGAATAATGCGCAGCACTGCGTCTGCAGCCAAGTTTGACAAGAAGAGTAAAGATGCTCATTATCTGGTTGAATCATTCTCTCCATGGTTTTGTCAAAGAGAGGGGAAACAGTGACTAATAAAAAGGGAAGCCAAAACACCTTACAGCGTGGAATAGCTGAAAAAGACTGGAAACAATTGCCGAGTCCAAGCCCGGTTCAATGGCGCAGTCGACCGAATGCTGAAGGTTGGAGAAGACCTCCAGATCACCCTGTCCAACCACCCCCTATCACCAGCAGCTCCTGCTAAGCCACATCCCTTAGTACAACGTCTGAATGCTTCTTGAACTCCTCTAGGGTTGGAAACTCCACTGCCTCCTGGCAGCCCATCGGTGCCTGAGCGCTCTCTCAGAGAACTGCTTCCTAACATCCGACCCAACCTCCAGCGCAGCTCGCAGCTGTTCCCTGCAGTCCTATTGCTGTGCCTGTTGGAGAAGCCGACCACCACCTCACCACAGCCACCCTGCAGGTCACTGCAGAGAGCAGTAAGGTCATACCTGAGCCTCCGCTTCTCCAGACTCAACAATCCCAGCTCCCCCAGCTGCTCCCTATAAGGCCTGCGCTCCAACCCTCACCAGCTTCATCGCCCTTCTCCGAACACACTGCAGGGCCTCAGTGTCTTTCTTGCAGCGAGGGGCCCAAAACTGAACACAGCGCTCAGACTCGGTACTTCCCTGCTCACTCTTTCTCATACAGCCAGGACGTCGTTGGCCTTCTTGGTGACCTGGGCGCACCGCTGGCTCACGCTCAGCCCAGCACTGACCAACACCCCGGGCAGCCCTGCAGCCACTCTGCCCCACACCTGCAGCGCTGCCTGGGGTTGCTGCAGCCAAAGCACAGGACGCAGCCCTTGGACTTGCTGAACTTCACCCAGTGGCCTCGGCCCAGCTGTCCACATCCCTCTGCAGGGCCCTCCTACCCCCAGGCAGATCGATGCTTCCTGCCAGCTTGGTGTTATGACTGTGTTGAAACCACGGTCATCAGGGACAGTTCCAAAACAAAAGACTGTTTACTGTGAACCCACTTTAGGAGTTGTGCACACAGTACCACAGACAACACTGATTAGTCCAAGGAATTCCCACAGTCCAGAAACATACTCTTCCCTCTACCACTGAAGGTAAAGGGGAATTCAGTAAATGCAAACGTGTGCATCGGTTATCAAAACTGGGTTTTGTGCAGCAAGGAAAGGTTAATGAGCAAGAATTCTGGCCAATCTGTGCGTGCTGTGTGGAGAGGAACAGACTGAGTAAGTCTGTTCTTGGAAGGAAGACATGTTTTAAATAGGCTTTTGTTACAGCTCCCTTGTGTTGTAAGTTTCCAGAGTAGACCCATTTTGTTTGTCATTTCACCTGCTGCATGACTTTGCACAAAAATCAGAAATATGTACAATCAATTCAGATTTAAGTCTGTACACTGAACAGTGCAATAATTCACTCCAGAAGTTTCACACCTCCAAATTCAAGTAGCTCTGTCGAATATCTCACAAGCAGGAAGAATAGGTGCTAAGAGGTAGAGACTCATCCTTGCTCAAGAAATTCATCCCTATCCAGGGAAACACGCTTTATTTAAGCCTTCAAACAGAATGCATAACACTATCAAATTTAAGAATATTTTGAAGACCTTAAAACCAACCAGCATTTATAGAATTCTGTGGTCTCCATTGCCACTTGGCTTCAGCCACTCCCATCTCTAGGCCATTTTGAAGTCTACAGGCAAAACATAACAGCATATGAGCCCACACTGTTTTCATCAAGAAGCTCAACAGAGGAACGTGTTTCCTGAAACCATGCCATTCTTGTCAAGTGCCTGCATCATTTGCAATAATTTTGAAGAAGACAGGCTTCTTGCAAGGCTTTCATCACTTCCAGCAAACCAACTTCATCTGTTGCTTATACTCTGGATTTAGCTGTAGTTGATGCTAAAATAATCATGGCAAAATAATGTATCAAGACTAGATCTAAATAAAAGTACCTAAACAGAAGGCAAAGCTGATTAATTGTAGCAGGATGGAAAACCAAGTCGAATCTATTAAAAGTTTGAAATACATATTTTTAAGGTGTTTGTTTCTTACTAAGAATTCTCCTAAAACACCTTAATAAATGGAAATAATTTAAGAAAAAAAAACAATGTACCTGACAATGCACTTGTAAGAATACCACAGTAAAGTAAAAGACCGACTCAGCTGAAAAGGGGGTGTTCTTAATCATAAAGCACGTAAGCAGAAGAGTTTATTCTCTATATACTTTCAGGTTTGCTGCAAAGCCAGAAAACAAACACGAAAGGCTACCTGTAGTAAAGGCACGGGGGACATTGCTGGCAGAACAGTTGTCAGGATTTCTTACTCTGCAAGAAGTGTATTAGAGCAAAAGAGCAGCCTGCACCTGCCCTGCATTTAGTACAACTAATAATCTGAGCTTATCAAAGTTAGGCCTTCTGGTTTCTTGTTAATACCTTCTTCTACCTGGAAATTTGGATCTATGTCAATCAATTCACTTCCTACAGCTATCTTTAACATTGAGCATACCATCTTAATCTGGAATATAATATTTTAAACTGTTTAGATAAGGTTCATTGGAAAACAGGCTGAAAAAATCCAACATGGAACAAATAGAAGTGCAGTCAGATCCTTTTGTTTACTGATGATCACAGCAGAGACAGTTAATGTTGCATCACAACACAGGTGTTTATACAACTGCAGCAATGAAGCACTGCAATACCAGACTGGAATTCTGCTGCATGATCTGCACACAGCTAGGACTGTGATGTTTCCATCACCCTAAGGGTGCAGGACAGAACCAGGGATCCCAGATCTCTGTTCCCAAGCTATTTGAATAGCTCCTCTGAACAGGGTATATCTTCCCACAGATTCCTGCATGTGCCAGGATATGCACCACCCCAGGAAGGCAGTAGGAGAAGATGCTTGGATGGATTCTCTGCTCAGGCTTATGTTAAACACAACCCAGAACAACAAGGTGCCCAGTTAACCTTGATCTGATGGGGGCTGACAGGTGTAATCCAAGAGAAGAAAATGTTTTTCCTAAAATGATCTCATTTGTCACGAAATCCTTGGCCAGAATAAGTTTTTCAGAAAGTGATTACTTGAGAGGAAAACCTCCATAGCAGCCTTTAGAATCCCAACGTATTTTCACCAGCCACTACTTTTTCTTCAGAAAAAATAAAGATTAGAATCAAGAACATCCTGGCATTCATTCCGTTGGGAACTGACACGTATCAGCCGACATGCTGGAGCCCTCTGTGCTGCTCTTGGCCACGACAGCACAGATAATTCCACACACTGGACTTCTCTAACTCAAACCTTTTATGTTCATTTCCACATGCAACCAGCCTCGGAGGCAGAAGAACGAGCTGTGTGACAGAAAGGCAGAACTGCCTGTTTTCCAAGTCCTGTACCTGCAGCTTAAATACCCACACAGTGCACTGCTGCTGCTGTCCAGGCTAACAGCAATATCTTACAGCCAGTCAGCCACAGAAGGACCACGAGAGAACAAACAGCCTTCTACACAGGAGCACCCATACCTGAATTTGTCCCACTTGCTGAGGATGCAGCTGCATTACTTAGTGCACATAACTACTCTAATCACGGCCTACTGCAATCACAACTGAATCTCTAATCAACATAAAGTTCATGGACCTTTCATGGACAAGTAAGGTGAAGCAGACATCCCCGCTAAGTGGTGCTGCTGATGCTGGGCAGCCCATCGGGGATCCCTCCGCGATGGAGCGATTTCTGCTGCAGTCACATGCAAAGCACGCCATCAGAAGAAGTCTCAGTGACAAGACTAATGTAATTCTAAACATAATTTTATATACTGAGGAAGTCTATTTGGACTGCTTTACTGTAATTCTAGTGGCATATTTATCTGCAGTTGCTACCTTAAAGAAAAGATCCCAGCAGAGCTAAATTCAGAGCAGTAAAAGGCTGAGCGGCCCAACCAACCAACCAGCAGCAGACTACAGTTATCCTCTGCAGGACTCAGACTATTTTATTGTCTCTGCTGACAGTATAAGCAGGCAAGGTTCAAGGATACTTCCTTCTGAAGTTTCCTAAGATTGAACTTGAAACAAAAATCAGTATGGAACCCCTCAGCCTAAATCATTAAAAAAAAATAATTGCAAAAAGATCAAAACAAACATCAAGGTCAACACGTCAGGCAGTTTGGCTTTTAAGAAGCATTTGAGATCATTTACAGTTGTTGTAAACTCTATCAGGGAACATCTTCCAGCTGTGACCTTGCTCAGGATCACATTCAGCTTTGCTATCAGTACATTAAAAAAACAAAACAGGAAATATTACTGAAAAGAGGGTGGGCAGTTTTCAGTGAAAACTCCCAGGGCAGGTGAGGCTGCTGGACTTCTCAGCACCGAGCAATGACCAAACACCAGCAAAATCGGATCAGACAGAGCCATGACATCTGAATACAACCCCAGTAACTCTCTTTAGAAAGTATTTTATTGTCACCAACAGAAATGCAGTGGGATAACAAGGCAGCCAAGCTTTTGATCCTTTTACCAGTATGCTACACTCTATTTAGAATAGAAATTTGCTTCAAAGTGAACGTGGTGGACTTTTGGGGGATTTTTTTGTTTTCTTAAAGGCATGTCTTAACATTTCCGTGGCTGTTGAATAATATAAATTCTTTTAGGCAGCATGAACTTCTCCAAGGCAGGCAGTGGCTTTTGGTGAGCAACTTGTAACGCTGCTGCAGGGATATTGCGGCTTATCTGCAACATTAAAAGTGGGGAAAAGAAGTTGTAATGAAATACAGCTTTTCCACTGTTCGCTTCCTAATTTTGATCACATGAAAGCAGGCTAAAGAACATAGTAAAACCTAAATCTAAAAAGTTCAAGTGATCAACACATCACAACTCAGAGACTGCACAATTAATAATCCCTGGTTTAAAAACAGAACATCAGCATGACTTTGTGACTGATTTTTTTCATATTTTTTCCCAGCTGTCCGCAAGATCGTTTGCTAAGATACAGAAAGCAGAGCAAAAACTGTATCCCACAGCTAACAGCAGGCTGCTTCAAATTCTTACTTTCCGATTCAAACAACCATCACTGTCGTATTTAATTATTCCTTTCTAAACTTAGTCCTGAGCTTTTTGTACGAGAGCCTAGGAGCCAGCTGGAGAAGAAAGTGCTGGTTAAGAGCAGAGGAGATCGGAAGGAGAAGAAAAACAGGACGATGTAACTATTCACCTTAGCAAATAGGTCTAAGCCAAATTTCAAGATCTGCATAGCAAAGCTTTGATCCCATCTGTTGATGAAAGGCTCATGTTGAAATGCGACCGATGGTTTGTTTTTTTTTAACCAAGCTCTACAGATGAGGAAGCCCTTGTATGTTTCCCAATCTAAAGATCACATATGTATGAAAAACAGATGAGAGCTGTCAGGTTTTCTGATTAGCATGCAAATTAAAAAGCAGCTCGTTAAACAGCTTTTGCAGTGTATAAGGGTAAGACTGCATCAACCGAGTGAGAGTTACGAGACAGCATCTAATGGCAGAGCCATTACAATGAATGAAGAGTCCATCAATAGATTTGTGACACAAATCTATATACACACAGTACAACCTCACAGTATTTCCAAGAGAGAAATCAAGAAAATGACCACCAGGCCTCGAGTGACATAACTGCATACAGATCAATGGTGGAACACGCTGCCCCTGTTGCCTCAACGACCTGCAGTTTCACATTAGCTTACCAGCAATGCACTTCTCATCAACATTACTCACTTCTTTCTAAGCGCTCTCTTCTCTTCGCCAAGTTGAACCTTTAGAGAAGCTAAAGCTATTTCTATAGTTGGGCGATGCTGAGGACTGTGGGTTTTCTTTTTGGCAGAGCTGGGGTTAAAGCCAGAACAACTTATTATGTCACTGTTATTTTTTGCCCACATTTCAATAAATTTGCAATGTACCACCTTAAAAAACCCACACATCTTGATACGTCACAGGGCCTTTCTACAAGGGGTGCACACAGCAACTCCATGTCTACTTATTCAACATTAAACAGGAGTGAAATCATAGATAGCAGAGAAGACAACTAGTTACAAGTAAGCCACACACTTCTGACATAACAGATCATCTCAGGAATGTCCAGCAGCAGATGGCAAACCTACAAACATCAGGCAACAGCAATTTAAGGAAAATTCACTTTCTGACATTCTATCTTCAGCTTCGTGGAGAGGTCCTGACAAATACACATCCTGTTCTTCCAGCCCTACTTACTTTGCGCAGCATGACATCCATGTGATGGATTTTTGAAATACTGACAACACTGCAAAAGAGAAAAAAATAGTAGTTAGCATCTCTAACTTGCAAAAACACTGACAACTGTTTTTCAGACTTCTTAACACAAAATATTTTGTAATAGAAATTCAGGTTCTGCAGCCAAATCCCTTAATCACATTAAAGAATACAAGAGTATGAAAAGGGAAGTGCTGTCTCAGAATAGAGAAATGGAAAATCCACGTTGTTTCCTTTGTATTTATATATAAAGAAAAATCTATATACAAATATCATTAAATATTTCAAGAAGGGTTTTTTTTTTTTAAATGCACCATGGATAATTTCACAGAACTCTAGAACTGGAATTCAGACCCGCAAAGCTTGACCTGCCATTTTCCTTATGTTAATCTAAGCCTGCAAGAAGCATTCATGCTCTGCTGTGGGTGGTTGGAGGAGAAGCAATTTTTCTTTTGACATCAAAACCTCTCATGAAATAACTTCTTGTACAAGAATACCCCATTACTTCTTAATATTTTAATACTGCAGAACAGCCACATCACCAACGCTCCAAATAAACGAGCTGTGGATATGAAATAACTTAGCTCAGCACTACAAGACTGCACATTCTTCTGATAATGCCATTATTTGCATTATTTGCATTCATACCTCCGTGGCCTAAAATGAAGTCCTTACAGATGGAACTGGACACCTGAACTGTAGCTCTTGAAAAAGGAGGTACTGATTTAGTGAAGTTAATGATTCGTGGCTGCAGCAAGATAAATTCCCTGCTGAAGTTTCAATCTAGCGATTGATAATTGTTTGCCACAGTGAAAAACATGGGATAAAAAGGTCTGTGTGTGTCAGCAGGTAACCGTGACTTTGGAAGAGCCAGGAGCAAGACTGGACCCAGATGACTCGCGATCAGTGACAGAAAATAAGGCAGAATGCGCCACGAAAAAAGGCAAGCATGAGCTGAGTCACTGAAACAGCAAAAAGCCATTTCTCCCGACTCATGAGGCACAGCCAATTTTAGAGCATTACCACCAACTCCCGCAGACCTGCACAAGGCATCCTTGTGAAATACAGGACAGCCTAGAATCATTTTATTTTTTGGAAACTAATTGAAAATCGCTAATTACAGGTAGGCAGTGATGTTTTCATTTCTGTTCCATAGCATAGAGAGCAGACATTCCACTTTTTTTTTTTTTCCTTTCATTGTTTCGTGAGGCATCTTCCTTACATGTGGAAGTTTGTTTTTTTTAAGCACAAAATTGCCCTCAACTTGCCTTTTATTTATGAATTGCACAAGTTAATTTAAGTGTTAAACTTTACGGAATCAAACGGTTGTCTATTTTCTAACCTTCAGCCCGTTGCCTACAACCTCTAACCCCGGGCCGGGGGTCCGAGCCCTGCAGACCAGTACCTTGTCTTGTCCCTTCCCTTGGGCCCAGTGTTTCTCCCAGCAGGTATGGCTTCTTGCTTTTTAGACACTCTCACACCTCCAGCTCTGACTGCAAGAAGAAAATACAACTTATGTAGCATTATAGATGGAACTGCATGCTGGACAGAGAAGACAAAATAATACACCCCGAATAAACGTTAAGAAGACATTTTCTTTCACAAATTCACTCTATTTTTACTTCACTTATATATACGCGTGCATGAAGTTAACCAAAGAGATCCACCAAAAAGAGCAAAATGCTGTCACAGCGTACTCAAATCAGCTTCCACATGCTGTAATCAGGAAGTCAGAGAGGCTCTGGTCATTGCAACTTACATGTATCCCAGCACTGTAAGTTTATGGAACAATCAATCCATTTTAAGGACAAGATTCTATTTTAAATACAAGAAACAAAAAATTCCACAACTCCAAACGTTTTGAGTTTTGAAACAGCAAGAAAGGTTCCACAATGTGATCAAGGCACTTCAGAAGAAAGCCAGTAATGCAGATAAGAACCAGACGCACCTTACACTTGTGTCCTAACAAGTTTAATTACTCTTCATTAAGATACCTGCCAATCACAAAACCAATTAGCACTAATTAAAGTACAGATGATCTGACAGTAACGATTTAAGCTCTGAGGCTTGTCAGAAACTTCAGTTCTGAACACAGAACACACAAACCGTCTGAAACATCTTCCTGTTCACAAAGACACTGCAAGTTTTAAAGCTGCCAACAAACTCAGGCTTACAAACAACAACTCTCCAGCCATGCCAGCTGCAGCCCTACAGTGCTGGAGTTGTGCAGTACCTGGGCTTGGCTGTCCTTCCTAGCATCGTTTACGTGCACCTGACTATGCTGCTGAGCCAGCAGTAAATAAGCAGCCTACTGATCTTACAGCTGCAGATCCACCACAGACCCGGAGCGCCGTTGTTTGGGCAATCACTGCAAAATGAGACGTCTCTGAAATGGAAACCGTGTTCAATTAGCTTTTAGTAAGGAGCAGCAGGATTCTAAATGCCCTCAAGCTCCCACCTGGGGAAGCTCATCCCTGTTTCTGTTAAGCGGAAGTTCGGGGCAGGGCTTCATTAGCCGTGTTTAACAACAGTGAAAAGCCAGGATACTGCAAGGTCTCGGCACGGTCTGTTCTGCAGCTTCTTGCGATACGCTGACCGTGCTGCAACGCGACGGCACGAGGACGCGCTCGCTTTTTGGGGGAGCGTCCAAGGCCAGCAGGGAGCCCTTCCTTTCCCTTCCCTCCCCCGCCTGGGGCCGCGCAGAGCAGCGAGCAGCGCACAAACCAACGGCGCGAGAGCCAGCGGGGCGCTGCGCGGTCTGGCCGTGCGGGCAAGCGGGAACCGGGGCTCTGCCCGCCCGACGGGGAAACCGCCTTCTGCTTTTTCAAAGCAGCTGAGAGACGTTAAAAGTTTTCGTGCGGTGCTCAGATTTTTTAGTGCGCGCCTGTAAGCCGTGCAACTAAACAGCCGAGAGCTGAGCGCGAGGCGCCCGAAGTCCCCGCTGGCTTCCAAATTAACGAGCACCACAACTTTCAAAGGAGTAAGGCGAAAAAAACAACGGCAACAAAACTCGGCACGGCGCAGAAACGCTGAGCTGCACTACGCCACAACGGCACCGCGCCCGGGACGGCGCGCCCGACCCGGCCTGCACGGGCGCCGAGCAGCCGTTCCCGTCACCTGAAGGGCAGCTGAGCGCTGAGGCCAGCCGGAGAAACCGGAAAAAAAATTATCTCCCGACCCTAGAGAATTGCGTTTGGAAAAGCGGCTCCGGAAGCGCCCAGCACGTGTCAGCGCTTCCCGGGACCAGCGGGAGCGGGATGAGCCCGGCCCGGGGAGCGGCGCGGCCGAGGGGCGAACCGGGCACGCGGCTCAGCTCCGCGCTGCGCCCGCCGCCGTCCGTCCCGGGGCCGCCAGCCGCACGCGGCGGTCACAACGCCGAGGGCCGAAACGCGGTACCCGACGGAGCGGTACGGCAGCAGAGGCTTCCACCGACGCGGCCCGGTGCGTCGCGCTGGCGCGGACCTGCAGGAGCCCGGCGGGGCGGCCCTGAGGCGCGCGGCGGGACGCGCACGCGGCAGCACGGCCCGTACCTGAGGGAGCGCGGCCGCCCGGCACCGCGAGCGGCTCTCGGAGCGTCCTGCGAGCCATCGCCGGGCTCGGGGAGGCCGGGCGGGGCGGCTGCGCTGCGGTAATTACGGAGCGCGTTCAGGGAGGAAAGAACCAATCAGTGATAAAGCTGCACAGCCAAACATCGCCTCCAACGCAGCAGCGAACGGCGAGCACGCCTCGTTTCTCGAACCGCCCGAGATGCTCGGTGTGGTGTGGCTCCGTGCGAGGAGTTCCCGTCGCGGGTGGCACAAGCTGGTTTCTCACGTGTCACTTTACGTAACGCACGTAGTTAATTGTAACTTACTTCTCTTCTTAAAGAAGAGCCCGGCGCTTCGTCGCGGTGTTACCGCAGCACGGCGATCCGTCCGCTGGCAGCTCGCCGTGCGGCGCCTCGGGGGAGAAACTGCGGGAACGGAACGGAGCTGCCTTCAATGGCAGAACTCCGTAACGGCTTTTCCTGCTCCACACGGGGTTTTTGACGTGATCGGTACTGAATAACCGCCTTGTCGGTAAGATTTTTCGAGTGTTTTCTGTGATGTTTATAATCCCAGAGTTACAGTCCTTAATCCTGTTTTACACTTTGTAGAATTAGCATCATCCGTATCAATGGCCCGTGCAAAAGTAGCATCGCTCACGGTGAATGTGTGAACATAACCTTAGAATGGAGCACTGAACTGGAAGTGGACGTACCCAGTCTGTAACTGTTTGGTACATTCATTCACACTTTCGTTTTCAGTATTTAAATGTATATTTTTTAAAAAATCCGTTAAGGAATTCTTTTCTAATAAATTGCACCATAAGTGGTGCAAACGTTGTTGTGGATGAAGATCTTACGTTTTGGCATCGTCTTGAATCTGTCAGCACTGATAGTATTTTGTAGGAAGACAACGGGGCCTTAAGGCCGCTCAGCTTTGTGTGGGATGAGGGGCAGGGAGAGCAGAAGGCAATTCCTGCTCCACCCTGTGGGCTCAATGCACGCACGGTGCCGAGGGAGAATACACAGCAATATTAGAGTACAAACAGCCCTCACTGTTTTTTTGTGTTGCAATATTCCGTGGCTTAAAAATCCAGTTACAGAAGTATTACTGATGGTTCCTTGAATCATGTCGGTGTGGCCTCTGCCTGAGTCAGAGAGCAAAATCTGCACGTGTTGCGATGAGACCTCGTCACTACTGGTTGTGTGCAGTCCCTGAAGCCATAAATCTGGGTGTCAAAGAGGATTTTTTGTGTGCTGCAAACATGTTCTGCTCTGTGCCACAAAAATTAGCTGGTTTAGAGACTGCAAAATCAAACACAGAAGAAAAAATCATGTATTTTGTTGATCCCGGCTCCGGACCGTTATCCCTAAAAGCAGACCTTAATGGAGGGTAGCAGAGGAAAGTAAAACAATTTTCGTGTGCCTGGTTTTCCACGCCTGCTCGGAGCTGCCCGCCGCCGTCACTCGCCTCGCTGCCCGCTGCTCTGACGGGCGCAGCTTTCTGCAGTTAGAGCGAGTGGCCACCAGGGGGCGCGGCATCCAGCGGCGGAACGGCGCAGAGACGCAGCGCGGCTCGGATGGAGGCTGTGCGTAAGGGCGGGTGGCAGCTACACAAGTCTTGGGAAAGGACTTCTTCCTTGGGATCCTGTTTACACGTTGCTTGCGAAGCGCAGGAAGTGATTTTTCTGTTCTAACTTCATGGGGAAGCAAAAGCGTTTCGGCGTTAGGAAAGTAACGGTGTGCAGACGGGCCGGCTCTAGATGGCGGTCGCGAAGTGGAGGATTTTAGCACGCACGGGACCAGCAGGGCGCGCAAGCTGCAAACAGCTTTCACAGCCCTTCGTACCTTCCCACAGCACGGACTTTCCAAACTATGCTGCTTAGACCCCTGTTCATCGCTCGGGCGTTTTCATGCCTTTTGCTTGAGGAGAACTGCATCTCAGTCCATCTGTCCCGATGGCCGGTCAGCGCTCCTTGCAAAAGAGCTTCTGAGCTATGGCACCAAACCGACTGACGGTCAGATTTGTTAGCTGCCAGCATATCTTGTGCACTGGCTTAAAACCAGTTAGCTTTAGCAGGTAATCACTGTAGCAAAGAGAAATGCATGGCAGCCAAGTCTGCAAAAAAATACATGGAGACTTTTAACATTTTCAGTGCCATGTTCTGTTCTGTGCGGTTAGTTGAGTCGGTAGGCTTTGCTTCAAGCACGTTTTCAGATGTGGGGCATTTTCAGTCTCATTCAAATACTGTCAGAAGTTTCCTTGTTTCAAGGGGAAAGTTTGGTAAAGAACAGCTGAGAGTTGTTTTGCTTTGTGTTCTTTACAAATTTAATTGTCAAAGTGCATAACTGGTAAACAGCCAAGCAGGACAGACGTTGCAGTTGGGCTACAGCAGAATTTCCTTTCCAGCTCTTACAGTCCTGTGTGAGAAGAGGCTGCTACAGGTTAACACAGCCAAAAGTTTTTAAAATGTTCTTTCTTTGCTCCTGAGGTGGGAACGTTTAACAACATCAGCAAGGTGGGCAGATCCAAGCTGAATGGCTTCTTGGCAGTTGATGAACGGCCTTTTTCCTGTTTCACTGTTTGAGATAATAATCGTACGCAGTATTTAGAATTAGATAAATCCTCTTCAACCTCTCTGGATGAATGACAGCTTTAAATAGGATCTGTATAAATAGAAGTGCAGGATTATGTATTTTGTTCCCATGTTAAGCACTCACATATGACGAATGATTTTTGGGCAGAGGGAAAATTCTCAACAGTCAGCATTTCATGGGATGTGATGATCTCAGTTTCCTGCATCTCTACCCGTTCTGGAGGTGCACCAGCTGATTCTGGATTTACTTGATTGCCTGATTTATTTAGGACACGATGAATGAACTGTGACTTGATTATGAGCCATCTATGTGAGCCACAGATTTTTGCATTTAGTCCTAAAGGAGATCTATCTCTTCTCATAGTGCATGATTACTTGGTGCACAGGGAGATCATTCATTTCACTCTCCCAGTCAGGAGAAATGCACTCACAAACGCCTTAAGGAACCAGCTGGAAATCACCTCACCAAATACTCTGCTGCTTGTATTTTTCATGTAATCCACATGAAGGAGACTTTTACCATCAGAAATAATTGGTATTGAGATGACAGGTTCCAGTACTTCGGGTGCCCCACAGCAGTCAGCAGCGAGTGCCTGCAGTGAGGTGATCTGAAAGACTCTACTGTGTTCCAGTTTTAGACACACCTGATTAGGTTTTATGGAAGTAGCACAGCTCGGATGATTACACAAGCAAGTCTAATTATGATATAATTGCCAACTCTACTGTTAATTAAAATACCATAAAAAATCTAAGTAATCATAAACACAGGTTTGGGTTGGCAGGGACCTTTAAGGTCGTCGTGTTCCAAACCTGATGACAACTTCCCCCCAGGACTTAGAATATACTAAGGCTCGAGCTTTTTGCGTCCTTTATGGCTGGAGGTAAGCTTTTCTGAGCAGGCCTTTTTTTTTGTGAAGAACTCATGAAAAAAATCCATAAATGTATCACAGCAGAGACGAGGACACAGACTTAATTTAGGAAAAAAAAACATTTCCATGCCCATCAGCTGAAATTGGCAAAGCTCATATTGCAGACAGCATCACACAGGAATATAACTTCTTACTTGAACTCTCTAATCTCCAATTGTGCAAACTCCATTGGAGTCATTTGACTCAGCGAAGCAAAAGACTTGAGTCCTTTCATTCACTGAAGCATCAATTTCTTTTAAATGCACACTGGGCATTCTAATGCAGAAACATGGTTGGGTCTGGATGAGTTGTGAAATTCACACAATAAACCCAGCCGAATTCACTCAGAAACCCAAACGCTCTCCTGTGATAACAGGAACTGTAGGGCCAAAAGATGCTGCTGCAAGATCCTAAGACGACATTCATTACATGCTAATGATAATGACAGAGATAAACATCGCAGCAGACTGACTGCTATAAATATTTGAGCTAATTGAAGCACAAAGTCATTCTCTTGTAAGGAAGATTTCATTCTGTCCTGCAGTGATGGTGCTGGGGAGGTTGCAAATAACTCATCACCTGCTAGTGGTGCACACTGTTCTGCCCAGAGAACGTGCTCTGAGGATAACATCACAAGCCATCACAAAATCACAACTACACACAGGTTGCCAACATGGCAACACAAGCAAATGCCAGTATTATATTGCAGTGATATGGGAAATCAGTATGGAGTAAGCTGAGCAGAATATCAATGCTGCGAGGTAGAAAAGCACACTTAGGTATACAGTGTAAAATGTCCTTAGCCTCCATTAAAGGCCAAGATATTAAGAAAAAAATAAAAATAAAAATGAACAACTGCCAAAAAGGATGATTTCAAACACTTTTTTTTCCTGTAACTTTTCCTGTAATGTTTTGCAAAGCTGTCATCAGTATTTTCACAAAGTGAAACAGTCGGGATACTTTAATCAGGAAGTAACTGGATAAGCCAGCAGACGAGAAAACTGCTGGCTATGAGAACTGCCCACGACAGTGCCACAGTCCCTGCAGCAGGGTAAGGAAGAGGCTTTGTACGCTTTCCAAATAAAAGCCCACTAGAAATTAACTGTTGTAGCCAGTGTATTTTTCATGGCAACAGGATTGCTGCTCGCAGGCTCAGCCGCACGGCCCTCCTCTGAGCGCCTTAACTTTGTGCTCGGCCCATTCAGGCTCTGTCTCTCCCAGCAGCTCTCACATCCTCGCCACCGCCGCACAGCCAGGCTGTCTCACTGCAGCCCTGGGCACGGTTCTTTCTTGGTGCTGCAGCAGACATCCTGCAGCTTCTGCGCCCATCCGAGTCGCTCAGTGCTTCTCCTGGGATGTTGCCAAAACACTCATCTGTCTTTGAAGCACAGGAGAAATTTCAGAAGGCGGTGCGAGCCGCTGGCCAACCCGCATTGCCAGTGAGCGGAGCAGCTGCACGGCAGCCAGGGCACCAGACTGGGGCTGACAGCCGAGAGCCACGAGTGTGCAGGGATGGCTGACATTCCCTGACTTGTTCATAGCAGGCACTTCCTCCTCAGGAGAAGGAATCGTGGACATGTTAACTTCAGCCCTTCTTTCCCATCGTTCAGCATTTAGTCAGCATAATTGCTTCACTGAGGTCAGTGCTGCTCTTAGTTGCCCTCTGCAGTCCGTAGGGAAAGGACTAGCACAGTGCTGCTGTACTGCACGACTCAACATCTCAAGCTCTTCTAATTGTAAGCTATTCAACTCTCCGATTTTGATAAGGTTTAGTACTTCTTTCATCACATTTACAATTTAATCATTAGAAAGATGGAAATAAAGAACATTTCCCAGGGTACTACTAGCGTTTAACTTTTTAACTTCCAAATTAACATCACCCTGTCCTAAGGACATTGGTGTTTTGAGTAGTTAACTTTTATTTTTCTCACCAGAATATCAATCTGAATGTAACTCAATGAATACAGTGCATTTGAAAAGCCCCTGCCTTTCGTTTACACTCCCAGCCCTTTGGCTGGCCCAAGCACCAGCCTGCATCCTGAAGGTGAGCAAAGAAATTACATTGTGCCCTGATTTTCCCCGCTTTCATGCATTTGGTTTGAAACCATACATAAAGGGAAATTAAGCAACAAGCATACCGTGGAGATGACTGTAATCATGCAGTACCAAGACAAAGTGTGGAAATACACAGATGATGGGACCATTAAAAACCAAAGAAAACGACCATAACGAAATAGATCTGCCACATCACAGGAGATCCAAGTTGGCTGCCCGCCCACACCTTGCTGCTTTTGATCCTGATTAAAGTCTCAGCTGAGAGGTAAGAATGATTCAAAGATGTCAGCAGATTCCAAGGAAATCAGAGCAGACTGTGACCCTGTCATTATCCAGCACTAATTTAAAGCACCGTGGGACAACGCAGTACCAAAGAAATGCATCTGGCTCAGTACAGTTGTGGGTGTACCAAATGATCAACACTGATCTGCGCTCATCCTTGTAGCAAACCTTGTACACGACTCTGAAGGCAGTGAGAACTGTCACTGAACTGTCAGTGACCAAACTGTTCTTACCAGAAACAAACTCAAACCGAATTAAATGGAAACTCTTTCCTACCTTAAAAGGAGAAAACCGAAGTCCAGGAAAGAAAAGGCACCACCTGCACAGTGCTGTCCCTCGGTAACATCACGCTGCAATCAGTGGGGAGTTGGCTCTGTAACAGAGGTTAAAACCCAACTCGTTTCCTCTACTGGGCTGTTCACCCCTTTGTTTCTTTCCCCTCGTACAGCCAGGGGACAGAAGTACCCCCCAACCAAGTAAGGAGAGGTGAATTTAATTGGAGCAGTTCTGCTTACCTTTACCTGCCATCACTGCACCAACACAACGGGGGCATTTGCAGACACTGAAAACTGAAGAAATTTGCTAGGATGGGAAAGAAAAAACTAAGAACAGTACAAAGTCAACAGACTGTACAGCGTGAGGAAAGTCCATGGTTACATCATCAGTCACTTGGACTGTAAATAAATCCAAGGGAAGTGCAAACTACAGACTATATTCTCTGAAAGCAAGAAGATAGAAATTTTACTGGGGGGAACAAGGGGAGGAGTGCTGGGAAGAACATAGGATGAAGTTCCAACATACCCCAATTGCCTGTAGCCAAAGTAATTGGGGAATAAAGGGTGAGTAGGAATAACTTCATGTTTTGGTGGTTCATGCTGGCACCTCTGGAACACATGCACTGTGGAATGCTGGGACAGTGGCCAAAGCGAATCTGATGCATTTAACCTGATTGAAAAAAAAAGCAGTTGCACCTCGCATTCACAGTATTTGTTCCTGAAATTCCACACACCAAAAATAATTAAGAAAAAAAGAACAGGGACCAGCTTTCCACGGATGAGACTTTCATATTTATTGTTCTTCCATGTGCATAGAAAATGGCAGTGAAGTTTTTTGTTTGTTTTTGTATGAAATATGCAGAGAGAATGGGAATGGGAATGGGAGAGGTGCAGCTATGCTGAACTGGACTTTGTGCTTCAAAATTATGCTATTAATTGTATTTTTTTTAATTTATAACATTTTCTTGGATTTTTTTTTTTGTGTACGATGTTTCAAATCTCTTTCAAAATGACACACTGCATTACAAATGGATGGCACTTTAAACCAATGTGGCATTTCCATATTTACACCAATGAAAGAAATTTACACGACATAATAGCATACAATCTTGACATTTAGTAATATCAATAAAACAAGGGCATCCATTTTATTTTTTTCTGTACAAACTATCAGAACAAGACTTTTATTCACATAAAAAACAGGTTTAATTTGCTCTGACCTACGCACTTTCCAAATTCATTTTACTCGATTCTCAAACCTTTCATCACATCGCCCACACCCTCACCAGACTACAGAAGCTACAAGTAATAATACCTAACATCTAAACAGAGCAAAGAAGCATCCCTTCCAGATTTTCTCTCTGACGGTTCCTCACCCAAAAACACCCCCAGCAAAAACTAAAACAAAAAAACCCAAACCAAAGCCAAATGCCCTCCAAAACCCAAACCAAAAGACTTCCTCGTTTCCTCTTTTATTTCACCTTCAGATTTCATAACTGAGACATCAAATGAGGCCATTCCATTTCTTCTCAAGCACGATGAGAAATACACTGTTGGTTTTTTTTCCTTTGATGCTACACCCAGGAGTCGGGTGAACCCGGGTACTGTTCTGCTCTATAAGAAGATCGTCTGGTGGAGTAAAAGTCTACATAATTTGTGGTTGATTTCAGTCCATACTGTGTTGTGTAGTCTGAAGTAGCAGGAAAGTGAACTCGATCGTCAAAGTACGGGTCTTCATAGCTGTGTGGGGACTGCAGGTACAACCTGTATGCGTCGCAGTTTTTCCTGTTGGTATCTTCTTGACTGTAGTACAGTTGCTGATGCTGTTGACAACGTGAAAGAAAAATAAACTTTTAAAATGTAATTAAACAGAGAAAATGCTTGCTTTTAGAACTCATACACATTACACACAAAACTCTCCCTGAAGAGTTCAGTGTAGCTCTTCCAGTGACGAAACCTGCATGAAACGCCCCTAAGGCTCCAGGTAAAACTAATGCAGGAAAAACCTCTCAGCCTGTCTACAGGTCACCCACCTGCATCCACTGCAGAGCCAGTACCAATCCACAGCTGAGTTTTTAGGGCACGTGTAGAAAATACAGCACCTGAAATATCTGCCAAGTCAGAACAGCGGTCTGAGATCCAACCGTGCCAAGAACATACAAGGATGTGGGACTACAGAAAGAAAACGGCGGTAAGCTGACAACAGCTCACGTACTGCTGAGGACAGAAATGCTCAGCTTTCTGCAGAAAAGACTCTGACACTGCAAAGTGTACTTAAACTCTTTAACGTTCCACTAAAACACCGTGCGCTGAGTCGAGTCATTTCAGTATCACTCCAAAACCAAATTTCAGACTCACCTGTAGCCGCCTGTTCTGTTCTCTCGCTGGTGAGGAATAGGAACTGATGTAAATTGGGGATGTTTTGCTGGAACCTGTGAGAAAATAGGTTTTGGCATCAACTTCAGTCTATTTTTTGTCTTTGCGCTTTTATTTTATCTAGAAGAATTATGTAGCACTCCAACAATTAAGTCTGCAGACTTTATAGTTTACTGATAATATGGTCATAAGATACAAGTGAATGTTATCCCTCACCAGTAGTTAAGCAGAAACCCCAATGCTTTTTTTCCTTTCTCCATGCATGTGTGCTGCTGATAACCTTTAAAATGAGAAATTTATTTCTCCCTTTTTACTGACATTTCTTATTTTGTGACTTGAAGAAGGAAAAGCAAAATCAGGAAAGTGTGAAAGACTGGTATAGCTTTATAATAACATAACTATATAAGCATATTAAAATAATGTTTGATTATAACATATAAAGCGTATAATAAAGTAATTTTCTGCAACAGATTTTTAAACTAAAATAAGTCTTCCAAGCACCTCATTTCCCAGTGTATAAACAGATCTCTTCTTATTCATAGAATCAAAAAATGGCTTGGTTTGGAAGGGACCTCAAAGACTATCTGTTATTCTGGTGATGTTTGTAATTTTAAAGAAATCAGCAGGTAAATAAAAAACCTTTTTTTTTTTTTCCTCATGCTATGAATAAAAGTGAAAACAACATTAAAAGCAACATTTCTGCTAATGCAGCTGTCCATTTTATGATTGCACGAACTCCACATAGAAGGAATATTTACCTATTCCAGCTAGGAGGTCACCTAGCTAGTGCCTTACCAGTGTAGATGTCTTTATGAGCAATGATGTCGCCGTGGTTGTTATAATACTGCATAGGAGGTTGAGTTCTATCGTATTCAGAGCGGGGTTCTCTAATTCCTAATAAAGCCGGTGATGAAGACGTGCTGCCGACTGATGCAAAAAGAAAGGCTGTTATTGCACAGGCTGATCATCTTTCTCAAACCCGACCTTCTCTCTTCTCTCCTTATTCTTTCCTTCTCCAAGGATCAGCAAACGAGATGCGCAAACTCATGGGTAATGGCCAAAATTAGTGCACAGCCTTTCCTGTACAAAGGGCTGCAATGATGAGAGCTATCACCAACGCACCATGAGATTGCCACTGATACTGTTACAACCAGTCACCACTCCATAATGATTCGAAATAAGAGACCTTACCCATTTCATTGTTAAAGTTTATGACTGTATTTAGGTTATGCTTAAATAGAATTTTCAAGTCCACCAGGTCACCCAGGACAGGTCAGAAAACATTACACTCTGCCTGGCTGAAGTCACCCATGCACAGGCTTGTACTATTTTCCTTTCATTATCACACAGAAGTGAATCTTGGCCACTTGGTCAGCTCCTGTTGGCTGACAGCCATCTCAAAACAATACAATGTAATCCATTGCTTTTATTACAGTCAACAATGCAGAAAGTTTATACAACTACCTCTTTTCTTTTTCACAGATAACTGTTTTTCTTCTTCCAATAGTTGTGTCCTTTATATCATATTCACAATTTCGGGTTTGAGCTAAGAATAGCTTAATTACTGGTATTTTCCTAGCATGCCCAAGGCTAAAAAAGCTAAACTGGGGGAGCGTCATCTGAAAGCGGTCAACTTAATGCGTGCACTGAGTGACCCTAACGAAGAACAACTGCTACAGACCAGGTATAAACGTTCTACCACACCTGCTGTGTGTGCTGCAACCTGCAGGGCTGTTCCCACAGTACTCTGCAGATAATTTTTATGCACTGAGCTTCCATTTTAATAGTTTAAGCTTGGTCATGCTCTGGAACAGAAAAACGGGCACTTCCTGTTAGTTTCTGCTCAGTGCTCTTTGAAGTCCAACAGCCTCAGAATATTATGTTAGAAATTCCCGTCTTATTTCCTACCTGCAGCTCACAGAACTGGAGCACCACAGTCATTCTGCTAGCATTTCTTAGGAGAGCTTCAGGGAAAGCTCGTAGTTCCCAGAGCCTGAGCAGAATTTGCTTCAGTGTCACTGCTTCTATTGAGAACGTATTTTTGGTTCTGCCTGTAGATATGTGGCCTAAACAGTCCACAAATTCAAGGTGCAGTTTTGATACCAGTATGTGCAACTTAGCAACTAGATCTAAGAGTACATAGCAACTGCCTTTGGTACCATGTGGTAGGAGAGAGAAAAAGAGATGGTTGTTCAGGACAATCTCTCAGGATCCCAAAGGACTGGGAGAAAACCAGACATGTAACTGACCAAAAAGATCAGGACAACAAAATGCTCTAGAACTGAAGACTGTAGTCTGCTGTTTATTGACACCAGATGAAGAAATCAGTCCTGTGTATTGAATGGTGGTGGCTGGGAGGAACTCTGGGCAGGAAGGATGTGCTGTCTTTCCCCAGATCACTACAGGATATGGTTGACAGCAAAATAAATCCCAGCCTGAGTCCCTCAGTCACCTATTTCACAAAGTAGTGTGAGTGTTGTTCCTTTTATTTATGTAAGTAATTAATCAACTGTATTGTAGGAGCCGGTAAATTATTTTAGCAAATGGCAAATGTATTTTTCTCAGTAGTAAGAGAGATCTACTCACATAAAAATAGAAGGGCAAATTGGATGAAATAAAACTCTAAATTCAGAGGATACAAAATCCACTGAATGCCTTGCATGGCAGTTCTGTCACAAAGATCTAGATCGTACTCCTGGGATGTTAAAGGAACAAAAGGGAGCTTTTTGCAACAATGAGGAGTCAGAAGAGTAAGATGTGTTGCATTTGTTTTGCTCATTATAATGGAACAAAAACAGGTCCCTCACTAGTGGGTTTGCTCTGTGTGCTTTTAAGTAAGAGGCCTGACCTACAGTGCCATGCAGCTGAAAAGCAGTGATTTTGTAGAGGGAAACAGTGACGAAGTCCAGATATCCACGCAGCGTGCACTGAGGATTTCACTCAGGACTACATCTAACCTGGTCCCTCGGCTGCATGCCCGCTATCAGCTGGGGTCTACTGGTGTTCTGGAAGCACACCACCACCATCTGACACAATGTGGGGTCTGAAACTCGCCAGCAGTATCAGACATGGTCACACACAGCACTCGTGAAGCACCTGTGCACTGCTGTTCGTAGGGTTAAATACAGAGAAAACACAGCAGGGCCTCTATGCTTTAGAATGCCAAGTCAACCCAAAGGCTGTTTGAGTTAATGAGATACAAGGTATCCCTTCAATAGATCTCTGTATGTGTCTGCACTGACCTGACTGCATGACCGGTGACATCTGCTGATTGGCTGTTGATAGAGAGGGATGGGATTTGAATCTCTCACGTTCAAGCGTCGATACTGGTGTAATGAAGTGACTCTGATTCCATCCATCCTGAGGAGTGGTAAAAAGCAAAGAACATAAATTATTGCTTCACCTTAGCTTAAGAGTTTTTATACAACCATTTTCCAGTGTAAGCTAATTTTGCAGTCTACCTTCTTATAAATGCTGCGAAGGTCTCGATACTGCCATAACGTGTTGAGTACCTGAGCAGCTGCCTTGACAACCTTCAGTGAAGATCTAAGGAAATAAAAAACATTGCATTAGTAGAAAGCATTACCTCCACTAAAGCAGAATGGTGTTCTGGAGTGCTGGAATAGCCTAAATCTTGCAGCTGTGAAGAAAGCCAGCTCTTAGTGCTGCCTGCAGTACAGCACTGTCAGCAGGGTCAACAAAGGCTGTGTACACTGACATGACAGTTACTTCCCTCTTCAGCCTAGAAATTCTCTCTCCAGCTCACCCAAGTGAGGAATACAGGTGGTCATCATACACAAGGACAAAACTTTGTGATAAGAAACATCGTTTAGTACATTTCACAAAACGGAGACTATATGCTTTAAAATTTTATACAGCGTTCCGAGCAGTAGAAAAATAGCAAATTACAGGGAGTTGGTACTGAATGCGTCCCAACATCCTCCGAGTAGGACTCGGTTCTCCAGCCCGTGCTGTGCTACCACAGGAGTGGTTTGCTCAGTAAGACTTTTTCCATTCCCAAGAGCAAGGTGAGGGAATTGCTCTGCCTGTTATGAAGAACAGTCATGTCATCGTGCCTGCTGTTGGTACTGAAGAAGGGATTTGAAATTAAATTCCACAGCACATCTGTGTCAAACACGTGCCTTCTCCTGCCAGCGTAAAGATTCATCCAAACACACTTTCTGAAAGAAAAACATGACTGAAAAAGCTGAAAAAAATTGCAGTTCATAGTGTCAGTCAATGAGCAGCCACTTCTAAGCTGTTCAAAGATTTTCAGTCACAGAATCATGTAGGTCAGAAAAGACCCTCGTAACAACCACGAATCTCAACCATCAGCTCCATACACCTCCCCTACCACACGTCCCCTGGCTCTGCATCCCTGGCTCTTGCACACCTCCATGATGGGGACTGACTGTCACCCAGGGAAGCCCATCCCAATGCCTGACCGCCTCCCTGTGAAAAAATTCCTCTTAACTGCCAACCTCAACCTCTCATAGCATAACTTGGGGTCATTTCCTCCAGATCTCTTCTATGTACCTGTTCTCCTATTGTTGTAAGAGCAACTTTCCACATAATCCCAACAGAACAACAAAGTTATAGTCACAGGTGACACCTTGAACATACAAACTATCATAAATCACAGATACACAAAATACAGTCCACAGTTTCTTTTCAGACAGATGTTGATAACAATGCTGTGCATTTAATTTGCACTTCTGCACAGCTGCAGATCCTCTCCTCCCCACTGCTACGTGATCAAATAGTGGGAACAGAACCCGGGGCTGACTGGATATTCAGCTTTCTGCTGGCCACAGAAGGGAGATCCAAGATTTTCTACTTTATACAAGAGTCCTGCCAGCACGAGATCCATCAGATATGCTGAGCAGGTTAAAGCAGAGATCCTGATCAGAGCTACACGGAGTGCCTGAGGCTGGCTTGGTGCTGGCACTGCATGACTCAGACACTTCAGCATTCCCATGATGTGATGCTCTGCTACCCACCTATTTTTCTGAAGGGTTTCAGTGCTACTGCCCACGGTGCCCTATGAAGCCCTAGCACACCAGGTGGCACAGACAGACCTGCAGCTGTCTGCAGACAGCCAGAACCCATCAACAAACACTCGCAGTCCTATTCCAGACAATCCCACTGCCAAGGTTACTGTTTGGTAGGGCAGATTTTCCTCACAGCCTAACAAGTGGCCATGCTGGATATAATTAATAGTTACTGAGATATCCTGATGAAGGTGCTAACATGTTCTCATTTCAAAAAGCTCTAAATACTCCATTAATGTTGTAGGTGTTTAAAAGATAAGTTTTTAAATACTCTTTTCCCTGAATAGACCCCATTAACTGCACCTGTAATAGTCTCCAAAAGCTGTAAGGAATACACTGTAAAAGAATGGCAGGTACCAACTGCCTCTTCTGTTCCAGTGTGACTCAGACTTGGTAGCTACTCAGATCAGGACAGTAAAAAAAACCAACTGATTTTCACAAATTTCTTTTTATTTTGAAACTCCCCCTCCCCGTGGTTACCTGCATTCTTACACATTTGGAATGAAATAAACAGATGACGTATGACATTTGTTGCCTACTTGCCTGTCACCTCTTCCTTTCGTTATGTTCACCAGCTTTTCTATCCCCCCGGTATCAGCGAGGGCTTTGGCGTTTTCCATGTTTTTGCTGGTGACCTCATGCAGCGCGCAGCAGATTGCTGCTACAGTCTCATCAGACAATATGCTTGGGCCATTGCCTCCTGGCAGTCGATTCACCAGATCTCGCATAGCATATTTGCCTGTAACAACCCATCAACAGAACCAAGTCAGAACGTATGTTCTGGTACTTCAGATTTGAAATCCTAAGACTTAACAATAAACTGCATTTCAAAGCAGTCAAATGGAACACCAGATCCAACCCATGGAAGAACTCCAAGACTTCACACTTTATACCGTAAGTGAGAGTAGAGATCACTTTTGTCTTCTCCCTTCTCTCCTGGCTTAAAAACCATGAGAAGTAACCTGCATTTTGGTATTAAAACTGGAGCATTTGGAAACAGAGATTATTTGGAGAAAGCAGAATTGTTCAAGAGAAAACATTACATTATTTCATGTGATTTGAGGAGCTGTGCACATTCCTCAGCTTCATTTATGGGGGGGCTAAAGAAATCCTTACAGCCATGTGGGCCTTTTTCCTTCTGACATTCTGTTCACCCTGTTTGTCAGCCACAAGAGATCAGATCTCAGCTCCTTCAGTTTCAGTTACTGACAGGGATAGTCACAGTGCAAACAAAGGAAATCAAGTAAAGCTGAAGTGTTCCTTATTTTCTTTTCCTGTTTAGATCCTGTTGATAATTAAATGATTATTAATTGATTTTAGTGAAGACTTGTGTTTGTACGCCACGGTGCTTGATGAAGAAGCCTGTCTCAAAGCCCTTCACTGTCTAATTGCATAATGTTTCTGGGGAAAAATTTTATCCAAAAATAAATTCTGCACACCAAAGCAACTTCTTTTCAAACACAGTGGAAAGTTCCCACCAACAAGGCTGTACACAGTACTACTCTGTCACTGCCAATGTTTTGGCAAGCTCAGCAACACAGGTTTCCACATAGCATCTTATACTGCTATTTGTTAGAGTACCCATTCTTTTAAATAACCTTTTCCCCCCCAGAGATTCAATCACTGAGAGCTCTGCACCAACAAATGCCAATAAAGTTGTATAAAACAGGGCACTGGCACGGGCTAGGTTCTGACTCACTTTGTGTCTCAGAATATTTTATGCCTACAAAGCCAATAACTCTTTGATTGCTAAAGCTTTGACAGAGAGAGCACAGGTGGAGGGATGTTCCTAACTGACAAGTTCTGCTGTGAGGGGAAGGAAAAGTTCTGAAAATAGATTATCACAGAGTATTGCCTGTATATGGCTGATGCAATGGAACCTAAGTACATGTTCTTCTCCTAATCTTTTATGGATATAATACCTGCTCTGCATGCAAACATGTTCTGAACATCCCAGATGGTAAAGCTCCAGAAATACGTAATTTTCAACTGCATTTATTTTTTTGAGAATAACTATCTCTTATCTGTATAGTAACTATTGCATGCTTACCCCATTAGCCTACAATATAGAAAATTCCTGTTAGAAAAATCAAACATCTTTACATCTTCCCATGAGTTAGCAGGCTCCTTTGGGCCGCAGGAGCCAGGCATGGTCAACACTTGCCATAGTAGACAGATTCCTAACCAAGGCAGGAGAAGTTTTTACTTTTGTTTTCAAAGGGTAGATGGGAAAGGCATAGATGAGAGCTTTAAACGTTAAATATTAAAACTGTCAGAAGAAAACCATTAAGTTCTAGCAAACATCCTCACTGATTACTTAATTCAGCAAAGGCATATATACACTGCTCTACATCTGGGTTTTGGTGGAAATATTTCACTAGCAGAGGATTGTCCCCCTCTCTCCCTCTCCAGCACTATTAAAGCATCTACTGGTGCTCTGGCAGCAGTGCTGTCCTGTTCTCTTAGTACTCATGAGGGACCCTGAAGCCCTCTCAGCTGGTTACCATTTATTAGCTCCAAGGAAGCAGAGTTGTGTTTTCCATCATATTTTGTACTGACAGTTTCCTGGCCAGTTCATTTGAGGTCACTTCAGCCCATTGTGAAGAGACAGGCATGCAAGATGGCTAAAGGCAAACCAAAAGAACGGTATTACTGTGGAAAGCTCCTGTTGTCAGAAAGATTAATTTCTGGGGCACAAGTGATGTGATACAGTAAAATCAAGTATGCTGTTTCCATTGGTAGAATCTCCCCTTGTACTCTTTCAATATTAGGTCAGACTTATCCTCCATTCTCACAGCTCTGGACTCACCAATAAGCTCCTTATTCCGAACATCTAACGCCATGTTCCTTAAGGCGGTTGCCACAGATGAAACGACTCGATCGTTGTCCATCCTCAGGAGTTCCACAAGGATGGGCAGTCCTTTTTCTTTCCTTACAGCAGCTCGAATGTATGCTGCAAACTGTAACAGAGCTCCCAGTTACCTGCAGATCTACTGCGACATTCTGACTGAAATTGTCTCTTATTAGATGATAATTCTTAAGCATTTTAAGGACATCTTTACATTTTCCATGTATGTTAACAGTTAAATGCTTCCCTTTATCATTATGAAAAAGGGCTGACTCTGCTCTTTTTCACTCATTCCTGCTATGGCACAACATTTTAAGAAATGATCTAACAGACAAAACGTCCTAATAGATGACAAATTACTGAAGAAGGAGAAGTACTTTTCTTAAAAAGGGCCAACTTTAAAACAGGCATAAAATTAAGCAGCCTTGTCTGGTTTTCTACAGCAAAGAAAGCAATTAGCATTTTCTCCATCTCTGTGACAAATACATAACATTAATGAAATATTCTCACCTAGTGCCATTGTAAAACATTGTGTGCAAGAGCCATAAGCAGCAATACATGGAAATAAAAATGATAAGAGCAAATACAACTTTTTAAAACTCGTAACTAATATACCACATACCACAGTGCTGATGTTATGAAGTGTTATTACTGCCTACACATTTTGACTGCACAGTTTCCAGACTGCTCTTCCTGCCTACCATCTTTGACACTGCCTTTCATGGCAGAAATAACAGCTTCATAGCACATAAGATCTGATGCCACACTCTACAAAGAAACAGGAGGAAGAGCAGGAATTCAGGTACCTTCCAGTTGCCAGCAGAAAGATTCTGGAGAGATCCTGCAGAGCCCTCGAGAGTGGCTGGATTGGAGCTTTCTGCTAGAAGCGTTAGGTACGGCTTTACCACCGATGGGTGCCACAGCATTTCTACCCCCTTAGGAGACTTGGAAAATCCGGGTATAGGGCCAACTCCATCCCACTGAGAAATGAATACGTATTTGTAAGTACGGTAAGCCTCTGTATTTTCATTCAATGTATGGCACCTTTCTTCAAGTTTCGTTCATCGTTAGCTAAGCATTTTAAACATTTGTAATCAAAGAAAAAAGGCAAACCTGGTCCTCCTGTGAAGTTTTTTTTTTCTTCTTCTTTTTCTTCCCCCAGCAGCTTGGCTCGGAGTCTTTGCTCGGTGACTCCTTTCCCAACAAGTCGTCCAGTTCATTGATGCCCAGCAGACGTGCCTGAGGCACCTCCAGCTCCAAGCGGTAGGAAAGGTTTCTCAGGGTGCACACGCAGTTCTCCACTGTCTGAAACCAAATTGTAAAGACATCACGTAACTTGTTGCTTTCTCATGTAGTGATGAAACACACCAAACAGATTAAGCACAGACGAAAAGGTATCCTAAAGCGCAAGCACCACATTCTAATTCTGTGCCTTGGACATTATTACACTTGTTTCTTTGGGAAAACTGCAATCTCTCTCCTGATATCACCAAACATGAAAATATTTACAATAATCTTCCCTACTATACTGGTTTTAGTAACCTGCAAATGAAAAGCATGAGAGCTTATTATTAAATGAATGAATGCTTGGCAGAAGTGAATAGTCCAGGACAAATTACGACTGCATTACGGGACAGAATTTGATTGTGCATCAGTGACCTGGGGCTGAGAGACGATCCGCTGAGTTAAAAGCATCGCAGTGAGAAACTGCACTACACAAACCCCAAGAGATCAGATCAGACACAGAGGTTAGCATTAGAAATCCCTCAGATGAACCGAGCACACACCTTGCTGTCATAATCCGATGTGTTCACACAGGTGTGGATCACATAGAGCAGTGAATCAACCAGCCCTTCGCAGGACCTCATCTGCTTCCGGGCTTCTTCCCCTGCAGAGCTCAGATTCCTAAACAGTCAAAATGAGAAACGAATGCGGTGCACCCACAGACAGACAGACATCATTTATCAGACAGTTTGCAGATGACTTTTTTATTTTTTTTTAAAACAAGCAAAACCCCAACAGAATAATAATAATAGCTGACTTAGAGAAGTAAAAAGCAAACATCCCATTTGGTGCAGCAACCCCCCTCCCAACTTTCATAAGAGATGAATAAGATTCAAATGATAATTCCAAGGTAGAACTGACTCAAGAACAAAACAAGCCATAAAGAGAATGCCTTTCTCACAGACTTCTTCCACACAAGCTGTCTCTGTCGCAGTAGCACAAAAATACAGCATGTATGCTGTAGGATAGGTGTTGGGCTCGTCTCTGTTAAAATACCCTTTGCTGCCTCGTCGTAAGCCTGGATTCATTCAGTGCTGTGTTGTATGGTGCAATGCCACTGACATTTGTAATATGCATACATAGAAGTATAAACGAGGGTGTGGGGAAAGGAACAGGCTGCACTGTGCTTCAGAGTAAGCAGCAAAGGGTATGCAGACAATTAGTTGCCTCTGAGGCAACCACCCTGCAAATCCTGACATGCATGTGGTGAGTGTGTGTGCTCTGAGACCAGACTGCTGCTAAGTCTGCATGCTGACCATGAAGGTGCACGTTCTCTAGGTGCTATACTAGCACTGAATGTTCCAACAACAGTGTGAACCTTGCCGTGAAAAATAACCCAATAAATAAAAAATAGCAGTATGTGAAAATATCTGGAGTATAGAAGGGTTACCAGAAAATAGAAAGCAGTTTCAGTGTATCTATTGAAAAACAGTGGTCTTACTGTGTTGCTTAATGGAAAAGTTTGAAAAGTAATAAATTGAAGTGATAAAGGAATGTACAAATGAACAGAAATAGCTCATATGCTGCCCTGGGTCTTTGATTTCTCTTTTCAGATGTTTTAGTTTCATATTTTATTATTCAGATGAGTACTTTTCTTCTTATTGCTGTTTGAGAAATCCACAAAGGGAATAGTCAAACATTTCTTTACTTGTATATATAGAAAATGTTTGTAAACACATTCCTAGGAAATAATCACTAGAGACACATAAAACTCACGAGCCATAAACACAGTGCAAAACCAGCAGTATTTCAGATGGGAAAAATACAACGATCAGTTCCACTTCATACAAAAGCCAGCCAAAATTTAACTACTAGCCATTATAATTAACACCTCTTGGTGACTTTGTACTTTTCATATTCTCTTAATACAGAAAAAAAATAAATGAAAGCTGTCCAAACGATAGAATTAAATGGAACGCAACAGCAATTTTGCCTTAAAGATTAAAGGTAAGGAGGACCTGGTGGGAAGCAGGGCCTTTGTGTACCATGGGGTGCTGTAGAACAGGAGGTTACCTCAGGCATCCCGTCGTGTTGCGCAGAACCAGGGAAGTCTGAAATTTAATTTTATGATCATCATCAAAGGAGGCACTGTTCCACCCGGAGTGTGGCACTATCACAGTGTTTGTCAGCGTTGACAAAGCGTCTCTAATGATTGTCATCTTCACCGCATCACATGAAGACAAGTTCCAGAGCACCCCTTAAGAAAAGATTTCCATTGTGGTCGCTTGAGGTAACAGACATGCAGCAATACTGGCTACTTAACAGACCTTGCTTTTAACAAGAGAAAGATAATTTGCCTATGCATTTAGTTTGAGTAACAGTCCATAAATAGTCAGCAAAGCTGCCATAAAAGGATTTGCTTCACCCTGATGTAACATTTTCTCCTATTCAAGTCGATGTATTTGGCATCCCCCATCCTGGCTGACTGTCCAGGCTGCAATCTCTTCGATGAAGGAGCAGGAAGGTGAGAGGACAGCCCCCCCAGAGAGCACTAACAGAGCAGCAGCTGATCCTTCCACAGTGCTGGGAAGGAAAGCAAGCATATTCATGAACAAATATTCTTCTCTTTTACTTAAGGAAAGAAACCCAGCTGAAACATATGCTGACAGGAAATGTTCCTTCCCCTTTCCTAAGGTATAGCTCATTCTACTGCCTGACAGGTATGCAATACTCAACAGATCCAGTTTCTTCTAAAGGAAACAGAGCTCCTTCATCAATTAGAACTTTAAGTCATTTATTCTTTCTGTCTGCAACAAGTGCCAGACTCACGGCCTATAAGCTAAATGCAGTGCCTCACAATCCAGAGCTGTGGGTGAGCACACAGGTGCTTGCCATGACTGTTCTAGTACAGTCTGGACACTGAGAGCCTTGTAGAAGATGCGTATTTCCAACTATTAACCTAAACTGTAAAATGCACATACACAGTTTGCCTTCGTCTTTTGAATTCTGCAGGATCTTAAAACTGTACACAGCAGCTGATAAAAAAAAAAAAAAGGTGCCTGTAATAAAAGTTAGGCTAGGAGTAAAAGAAATGTTGACTTGAGCCCTGGCTGTGATTGTAGGAGCATCACACTGGGGCAAAATTTACTTTGGAACTTTGGGGTAGTAACCTCAGGATTCACTTCTCCCCATGAATCTGTACTTCTATGCTAATGCTTTTAACTATTAGTAATCAAAATACGTGGTTTTGTATTGACAAAATACTAATGCACAAATAAAAATCCAGCTAATATACTCAATTCCAGCCACTTATCAATTATTTCTAGGTCTCATCCACATCAGAAGCATTATCTATGCTATAGTTCTGCACTGGTCTCTATCCAAAACATACCTGTTACGAGCTCTTTTATTTCTGCATCAACAGATTTTCTTAACAATCGTAGAAGTGCAGGGATCCCACCAACGTTCTTCATTGCTATTTTGTTTTCATCTGTAGACTTTCCATACACAAGGTTTCTCAGTGCACCACATGCATTCTTCTGAACCTCGGGGACTCTGTGATCCAGGAGATCCACCAGGTGTTTGATCCCTCCCAGCCGGCACACCTGGGAAACAGGACAGGAGTATCAGCGCCTGCTGCTTTCATGCATTTCACTCTATGGTTTTAAAAGGCTTTTATTTTTAAAGGCAGGATATTCTACTATTCTTCTATTTTAAGATTAACATTATTTTGAGTTAAAAATCCACATCAGAAGGCTAATTTTTTTACATGAGTTATTTGCAGTATTAGATAGGTCTGTTATAACCTGGCACTATTTTAGCATTGTACAGTAAATTTATGCCATACCATCCACAGAATATACTGAAGTTGGCATATGAAAACCCCCACACCTGCAGCTGCTGAACTGCTGCTGCCCCAGAAGGAAATCCCAGGCAGAAGAAATACAAGAACTCCTTTTCTTACCCAGGAAGTGGTTCTGGGCCAAGCATTCAGCTCCAAGTGAAACTGCAGTCCTGGGGGTTCTCTACTTCAGCACAGGACCACATTTAAAGAGGCCCTTTTTCTATTCTAAGTGACACATCCATTAGCTTGGCAAGACACAAGGACATTTGAAATACACTGATATGTACCAGCTTCCATGAATTTTTGACTCTAAAGTTCACTTTAATTGGCCACAGCACAAGGTGAATAAAACAACACTTTAATGGAAACAGAACTGAAGTTTAGCCAAATCCATTAAAATTGATGCTCTGAAAACCAGCCCCCTCTCTATTACATTCTTGGAAATTGGCACTGGGTATCGTAATGATGAATAGCTTCATCTGTCCCTAGCAGCAGACAGATTGAAGAGGCTTCGAAAACAAACCCAACACCCAACCTGAAGGTCCCGCAGGCTGTTTTTGCCTGTCGAATCACACCCAAAGTAGATTAAAAGAAAAGACTGATGACGTGTACATTTTTTCTAGACCTCTGTTCAAAAAGTTTATTCTTCAAAATGAAAGTGTATTGTTTCAAAAGGAAACAGTTCCACACCTAGTATCTACCACGTATGTTATAAAACCCAGACATACAAAGCTTGGCGTTGATCAGCCACGTGAAGCTGCTGCTGCTCCAAAAGGAGCCCTTAGCTGAGGGCACCAGTGGCCTTCAAGTCCCAGGTGATTCCTCTGGCCACATCTGTAGCTACCATGGGTCTGAAGCCCCATGAGCACTGGGCTATAGTTTATTTATGTCATACAAAGTAAATGCAGGAGGCTGGTAGAAACAAATATTTTTAAGGTGCTATTTCCTTTTAATGCTAATAATTTTTATGCTGTTGAAGAACAGAAGCAAGAAATAACTATCATTTCCACTTAGAATCACAGAGTGGTTTGGGTTGGAAGGACCTCTAAGATCATCTCGTTCCAACCCCCTGCTACAGGACGGAACACCTCCCTATAGACCAGGCTGCTCACAGCCCCATCCAGCCTGGCCTTGAGTGCTTCCAGGGAGGGAACATCCACAGCCTCACTGGGCAGCCTGTTCTGTGTCTCACCATTCTCACAGTGAAGAATTTCTTCCTAATATCTAGAATAAATCTACCCTCTTCCAGTTTAAAACCATTTCCCCTTGTCCTGTCACTACCCACCCTGTATAAAGGTGCCCCTTTTATAGAAGTCCCTCCTCAGCTTCCCTGCAGGCCCTTCAGGTACTGGAAGGCTGCTATGAAGTCCCCCCAGGAGCCTTCTCCCCTCCCAGCTCACAGGAGAGGTGCCCCAGCCCTCTGATCAGCTTCGTGGCCCTCCTCTGGGCCTGCTTAATCTCTCTTAGTACGTTTGAGTCGCTGCTGTGCTGACACACCGTTACACACACATCCATAACTCCCATGCAAGTTCCAAGTGACACAACAGATGCACCATTTTTCCAGGATGAGATGCAGTTTTTGTGCATATAATTCAAGATGAAACTGGAGTTAAAAAACCATTCCTGAGAATTTTGTTTTACTGAGTCATTAAATATATTTAAATGTAGCAGCTGTTGCTTCTCTGAACAGCAACTCCATTCATAAATTAAACCCCAAACAAACAAAACCAAAACAAACCAACTGAAAGCCACTCACAAAATGGTACATTATTGAACCAACAGAGTACCATGGAATACATTTATTAAAAAAACTAATTCAGGCAGATATTCATTAGATCAGAGTATAATTTATTAATTCTGAGCATTTTCATAGTTAATTTAAATTATTTTTTTTTTCCTCTTATGCTTACCTTCATGTTTCAGCATGAAACATGTGCAGGCATTTAGTTTGTTTTGCAAATGCTTTTAATATTTGTCTAGTCTGGAAAACTTATCTGGTCTTCATCACAACAATAAAATAATAAATCTAAATAATTAACAAAAATACGAAGTTGATGCAATCTTCAAAGAAAGCTTTACAGACCTTGGCAATAAATTAATCATGATTCTTTCCTATCATAAATAACACTGGCTGCTGGCCTCTGCTTTGAGGGGAACGTTCTCTGAATGGTACCATACAGCTACAGTACTTGGTACTCAACCTGCTAGCAAAGCATGCCAGATACCAAATAGCTGCAGTGCTAAGTAGGGTAAACAACTGAGATGCTACTTCAGATACAATGGGGAAGTTAATATCACACTCAGTGCTTAAATGTGTCATGTTGCTGTTCTGTTTGTGCTTTTTTGAGAAAAAATAAAGCAGACATTTTATAATTTCCCAAACGAGTCCTATAACAATGAAAATAAAAAGGGAACAAACAAGATCTTACAGAATAACATACACAGATAAATAACATCCCAAGAACTCCTACGTAAGCAGTCCCACCTCTTAAAAAATGGCAAGACTGCCTATGAGCCTGCCTACATCTTCTGATCGCTGCCATCTTTAGCAAAGATCGAAACTACCACCACTGAGCAACAGCGAGTTGTGCTAGGTTAGCTTCTTGCAGAACTTACATCAACACTTCATTTACATGATATTTATTATGAAAATAACAAATAAAACCCACATATGAATGAAAAAGCAAATTCCTTTAGAATTTGTCTACAGACATCAACAGGTTCCATGAACACCGGTGTCAAGAAATGTACTCCATGTTTCTGTTGGATTACACTACCCAACATTAGATTTATCCACATCACTTCCAGCTGCTATGCTGGAAAGATGTGTGTGTATTTGTCTGCAATTCCACGCATCTGAACACAAGTGTACTTCAATACGAATGTACACTTAGTGCAAACAGAAACACACAAGCTCCAGAATATGGTGTTGCAACAAGAAAGGAAAACAAAGACCGGAGCTCCAGTTGCTCTTTTAGTTTATAGCTTCCCCGGATCAGAAATACTCTCACTACAGTACCTCTGTTTTCACTTTGTTGTCTCCGAAGCACAAATGCTGAAGGTAGGCGGCTGCGTTCGCCTGGACCGATGGGAACTGGTGTTGGAGCATGTGAATGACTTCAGGCAGTTCTGGATCTCTCCAAGCAAACTCCCTTCATTGGACGAACACATTGAAGGAAAGGCATTAGTGACAAATGTACATTTATTTACTAAGTAAAACTAGTAGAGTATCTTAAGTGCTGTAAATAACTTGTTTTTGTTTTGGAGTATTGAGAGTAGGAGGAAAACCAACTACATTAGAATAACTATGCCACATCAGCTTCTAGTCTTCTTCGTGGAAAAGGACCCTTCGTCTTCTGTTCTCTTGAGTTAGTTTGGTTGTTGAAAACACAGATATACATATTAAAACTATACCAACTAAAACACTGCAACTTATATAAATGTCTGTCAGCTGAAATATATAGTGCAAGATGCACGCTGAACGTTGGCACTTAAGTGTGTATCCTTAAGCAATATCTTTTCCTCAGCGTTCAGTGTTCTTATTTGAAGGCAACTGTACTTGAACAAAAGCTGTGCAGTCTCAAGATTTCATCATCAGATGCAGTAAATTTGAAAGACTTGAGTTAATCAGGGATACTAAACTTGAAATAACTTTAATCAAGCTTTATCAAACGCAGCAGTTTTGTGTAGTCAAATCCTGGAGAAGTCATTAAGCATACTTAAGCCCAATTCCCAGATGAAAAATTACCATTACCATTTGTTGTTGGGCCATTTTCTTCTTTTTGTAAAGGAATGGTTAAGGAAAAAAAGTAGCAGCATTTAAGTTTTTCTATTCTCAAAACCCTAAGGAAGTGATGTGCTAAGAAGAGTACTGAATAGCTATTCAAAGGCTAATGCAGCCTGTCCTGTCAGATCACCCCAGAATCCACTCATCAGAAAAGGTAAGTTTGGTTACTCATCTGGTTTGAGTCACTCCACAACTACTTCGAGATTTATTCCTCCCTAACAACAGTAGAAAAGAATAATTCAGCTGAAGGGGACCTTCAGAGGTCATCTGGCCCAACTGCCCGATCGCTTTTGGCTAACCAAACATTAGCAGCGCATTACCCAGGGCGTTACCTAAATGCATCTTCAATACTGACAAGCACAGAGCGTGGGCCACCTCAATCTGCTCCAGAGGGTGACCATCCCTATGGCAACGATACGAAGACTTCTCTCACAAACACAGTAAATATCATCTTATGATAAAGAATGTTTGGTTCTCGAAACACAAGTGGACTTGCCTGGGGTCTTTTTGAATGCTATCTATGGATGGAGATCGTGTGGTCCCATCGTCGGCGGGCGCTGCGTGCTGCAGCCTGTTATAGCCAGACTCTGACAGTCGGTACTGCATTGACCTGTAGGGTTCCGCATAGGTAGCAGTTGTGTTCAGAGCATAATTATTTCTTTGGTATGTGAGTGTGCTACGCTGACTGGATGATCTTTGCAGATTTCCAACTCCTAGTATAAAATTAGTATTAAAACAAACCAGGTAACAAATGTCTATTGAAGAGAAGAGACAATACAAAGTTAAAAGTGTAAGCCAAAAAATCAGTCTAAAAAAGGTGCATAGTGCTCAACGTTGAAAGCTGCCGCCAGTTATAAGGGAACAGTTACTCAACATCCCAGAGAAGGCAGAGAGGCTGGCTGCAGAAATATAGCTTTGGTGGAATCAGGCCTATGCCCCAGCTTGCCTGAGCATTTAAAGAAAGATATGCATCTTGTGCCATTAAGGAGAAATTAGGATGCAAAATGTTTTAAGGTGTGTAATAAAATTCAATTACCAACAGTAACTTCAATTTGCCAACAGTACTAAAAAGAAAAAGGAAAAAGAATTAAACAAAAGTTTACGTAGTTCACATTCTGTTTTACTTTTCACAATTACTTGTACATTTTCCCTGAATAAGAGCTAGTGAGGGCATGATTTCAAAGTATTAAGCTAATGGTTTCAAAGCCAGGAACATGTATGTAGCTTCCTGACTTAGCAGAACTGTTGTGATAGCTTCTGTTCTTCCAAAGTAACTAATATCAGGTGGACAAGGAAACAGAGAATTCAAATTGCTAGTTATATCTAGTGGAAATACTGGCGTATCTACCGTATGCTGTGGAAGAGAGGATAACTGCAAAAGCCATTGCCTCCTTGAGTATCCAGTGCTCTCTGTATTTTGTATTTTGTATATATGAAATGCTCTAAGAAGCAGTTTTCAGATATAGAGATGTAAGACATATGAATTGGACACTTCTCTGTAAATATTTCTGGAGAGTTCAGTTCCACAGTCTTTAGAAATTACTCCACTACATAAATTAATCAACCATTCTCTTTACAGAGAATCAGTTCTGATACTACTAATAATGCCTATGCACCTCATAATCTGTCAGTAGCAATTCTATCAGTTACTATAGAAATATTTCATTCTCACTGTGCTATCTTCAGATGTAGCATTTTGACATTATCCTCAGCTAGGAAGTTAGGGAAAAACTGTATTTTTACTGTGAAAGACATGGTAGATAATTTAGTTGTGCAAGTTATCATTTTACTGCCTTGGTGAATTTAAAAAGGAAAAAAAGAACATGCTCAGCTGGTATGTGAATGATGCACAGAGAATGAAAGAACAAGCAATAAAATGTTTACGTCATGAAATACTCTGCTTGAATGTACCTGAGTGCACGTCATCAAAGAACACATTCTGATCCTAACCTGACACTGACATACAGCCCAAAGTATTTCCTGCAAACATCATAAAAACTTTAAATTCCTGCTGGTCATTTAAGTACCTCCAACCTATTTTCCACCCACTCTGGTTTATGCCATATAGTTTCTCCTTCGAACTCAAAGCTACCTATCTCCCATGTGCCACAGGCCCCAGAAAAGCTCCACTGTGAAAATCGAGCACAGCTCCGGTACAGCTGATGGAAGAGCTCTGCAAGCCCCTTACCTACCTGACCCTGTTCGATACAGTGCTGACTGGGATCCCTGGTGGAGCTCAATTGTTCCATGATTTGGACTGCGGTACACGGGACTGTAGTAAGTTCTGCCTTCATAGATAGGGGTGATGTGCAAGTCAGGAGATACAGCTGATCGTAATTCCTGTCCTAGTTGACTGTGTTGACTAGCATACGAACTCCTCAGGCCTGAAAACAAGAAGAGGTAAATGTGTGCACAGCCCACACTGATTAAAAATAAAGATGATTGTATCTTTCTTACTTTAGCCAAGAAAAAATTGCATTATAGCTACACAAGTTAGGTAACTCTAACACAACATTTCTGCCTTAAACTTCTTTCCACTGTTAAATGATGCATATCAAAACATTCATTGACAAGTCAGCATTCCCTCAATAAAATACTGACAACTTTAAGTTTTTCAACTCAATTTTTTACTGTAGCATCTACAGCTAAAGTCTGAGTGAAAGCCAAGTCAGCACACACAGTTCACAAACTGAGCACGGTGAATCTGTCTAGGCACAACAGGTCAGGCTGATGGTTAAACTTGGTGATCTTGAAGGTCTTTCTCAACCTAGATGATTCTGTGTTTCTATATCCTGTGCTTTGGAACTGTAGGAGTTGCTCGTTTTTCACCTTCCTTTTAGCTGGCTACCTTGAGTTCTGTTTATTTTACCTCTGCTGTGTTTAAAGTAATTTCCTCAGCAGTGGGCTTATTACTGCTATCGCTGCACCACTGCCAGAGCCAACCTCTCATCCAGCTTATGTAGCAGGGAAGAGCTCTGGACAGTACTAAAAGCACAGCTGCATCAGTACCGACCTTTCCCCTGGGCCCAATAAAGGTTTCAGTATTAAATTGTTCCCCTAAAGAAACATGAGAACTACTTTATAGGAGGAAAGGTAAGGTTTTTCTCACTTTTGGATTAAGCACAGGACAGTAATAATTCTGCAAGTTTCCTAGAAAGTTTACAGTAAAAATGGCTACAAAACGAATTGCTAAGCATGACTACAGCAGTTGCTAATTATTTCCCTAACACTACAAATGCTCTGAATTCAAAATCTGTTTCTGAATCAGATTTAACCCAGTAAGTCTTTTCATCTCTTTTAAGAGGATATATTAATTCACCTGTTTAGAGAAGAGAATCTGAAGCACTGATATTTGCAAAGTACCTTAACAGTACTTTAAGAGTACAGATTTACTGTTCTGTCAAACTATGTGCTCCACTGGACTGTGTCCCCTTTAACTACTGAATTGCCTTCGTGTCCATTTCAGTTTTTGTCCATAGCAAATTGGAGATCATTAAGCCTTGCAAATGGAGGTCAGAGACAAGACACCTTATTCTATTTGCTGGGAAACATTTTGGGATTGCCTGAAATACAATAGTTTAAAAGAAAACAGATGTTGCAGTCATTGTTCCGAAAAGCATACAGTCCTAACTGCAAGATCACACCTGTTTGTGCTCTTTTGGATGAAGGTCAGACAAAAACAGCAAACAGAAAGAACTTAAAGCACACAGTAACTGCATCTCAACAGGACCTGCCTCTCTGATTAATAGAGTCTGTGTTTAAGACTTTGTTTTAAGACCATATTACCCTATAGTTAAGTTGAATACTTTGAGAGAATAGAATTACTAGGAAAAAAAAGAGAGACTAAAATTCAATGGCACTGTTACCTATCTTAAGAAAGACCTATACAAAAAACTAGTCCCAGCATAGCATCTTCTATTGTGTGCATACCCTGCACATACATGTAAATGTACTTCATCTTCAAAAATACTACAATGCTTCTGTTTGGAAGACTTAGACTTTCACATAGCCACATAAATCTTAGGGCATGCGACTTAATGCAGCGCACTGCTAGCTTGATCGCTAAACCAGAGAGAAAGATGGTATTTGCTTTGAGCTTCTTGTACTGATACACAGTGTTTGACATCAGCATTTACAAAATGCACCACAGTCGTGTCCTACTGCTACAACATTTGTCTGTTTAATCTTGTTTTAGGCTTGCAACAAGACTTAATCTGTGTCTTTACCTTTTTTTTACTAACCTGTAAGGCTATCTGGACGTGGAGGAACCATTCTCTCATATATGTCGTACTGCTGTCCGTACTGTTCAATATCATGGACTGCTCTCTGCAGTGTTGTTCCCAAATGCTGTGGAACTGCAGTCATACCAGAACGCTTTGGGGAAGATGATCCCAGCTGCGTTTGGGGTGGAGAAGCAACTCTGGTTTGTACATCAGCGAGGGCAAGTGGAGAGCCAACTCTAGCTGATGCCTGGTACTGGGAAGTCCCACCGTTGGGATTTGCTGTCTGTCTGGATGTGATCGAGCCAATCCGCCGCACGGTCACCGGGGAAGCAGGTCTCTGTGCAGCATACGGGGATGCCGCCCGCTGTACTGGCAGAGTAGTGGATGAATACGCATGAGAAGCGAGGGATCTTTGCTCAGCAACTGATGGAGAGCCATACCCACTGCCCAGAGATGTTCGCAGAGACCCCCTGGAAGGGGAGACACCTGTGCTGACCACGTAAGAGGGAGACTGTGCTCTGGACGGGACTGAACTGACGCGTCTCATGGCTCGGTTGGTAGCGACGTTTGCTGAAGGCTGTTCAAAAACAAAATCAAAGCATTTATCAGTATTACCACGTAGGCCACGCAGTAGATAATCTTCTCCCATAAGACAGAAGCCAACATGAAATGTAAGCAATTTATCAATACATTTTACTGCTGAAGAATAACTGCTACTCTAAACATCATCCCTTCAAGATTCCCTACAAAACAGTCTTTTCTAGCCAGAATTTCATATCTGAAATGGCCATTTCAGAAGTGCTCCATTCCTCCTTCTTACTTGGCTTTCTATGTTAACACGCTTTCTTACTACTTCCATAATTAACTCTGGAAATTGAGGAACAGCATTGCAAAGAATTCTAGAATAAGCTAATAAAGCTTTTCCAATTAAAAACATTCTGACTAATGAAAAAGAAAGGGGAGAAGGCCAGAAAAGGAAGGTGGCACAGGAACACCAACACCACATTTCTTTAAGCACCGTGTTCACATGTGGGCAAAATCTTGAGGTTTTCCCAAATGTCACAACTGAAAGAATTTTGAGAGATGCATTCCTGGAATTTATGTATTAGCAGCATGCTCTGCACTCAGGAGACCTCAAGATTTATTCAACTTCAGCTGTAAGCCATTTCCACTTTCTAACCAGTGCAGGTGTTAGTTAAAATAACAGAATTTAACATAATGTTAATTACATCCCACAGAAAGCATAAGTCCAGCTATACATTGAGTGTCTTTAGAAGTGTGCTAAAGGCAGCATACAGATAGATAGAAAGTGGACTGTTTTGAGCATACCTGGACTAGAGTCTGCCCTTCAGCTCGTGAGCTTCTCACCAAGTGGTTAGTAGCAGTTCCAATAAGGGAATGCTGCTGTCTGTTTTCTGGTTTGTTCAAGTTTTGGCTGTTATGAAAGCTGCTTACTTCTTGGTAACCACTATCAGAATAAGAATTCATTTGTGTTGAACTTCTTGAGTTACCTACAGACCCTGGAGATATGAAGCCAGCATAAGAATACAAGAAGTGCATAACAGTAGGAAAATAAAGTATTTCAGAACTTTGCTCTTCGCTACATTCATAACTGTAGTGTATTTTAACGCAGTTAATACAGAAATAAATGTACTGTAATACTGAAAATGCAAACAACAGACCCTCACTTTCATGGAGAGATATCTGTTCCGGTGAGTAGAGGTTCCCTTGTATTGGCTCTGTCCTAATGTGATAGGCATTGGTATGAACTCCCTCTGATACGAGGGGTTTGTTTGCACTGGTGGCTGCTGGATCTGAAAGAATAAATTAAGAAGAGGAATGTAGTACTTCACATGCAGAACTCCTGCAAACTCAATAATAATTCTCAAACATTACTAATGAACTTCCAACATAAAGGCAGCCTACTAGTAGGCAGCAGTTACTGCCTACCAAACTAAAGGAAAGAAATTACCATACTCAGGTCTGGGAATCTTATTTCCTGCAGTTTTGAGGTAGTTCTACAGTTCCCAATTTTTAAAAACACTTTCCATTAATTACATTAATATTTATTAATACATTAATAAATATATTAAATAATAATATAATAAATATAATATATATATAATAAATTTATATTATTTATATATTTATATAAATTTATTATTATTTATATATAATAAATATATATAATATATTATAATAAATAATAATATAATAAATATATTAATATTTATTAATATTATTTATACATTAATATTTATTAATACATTAATAAAAAAGTGTGATTGGTTACCTAGTAAATGTACTTTGCAGAGCAGAAACTTTATGGAACTGTACTGCAGAGCACAGAATAGTAGTTACTGGTCTTAAACACCTACTGTCTCAAGATCTGAATAAATAAAAGGTTGAGTTGAACTCCATCCCTACTTGTGTATCATCGACAAGCTGTTGCAAATTTTATGAATGCTTTATTTAATACATTGCTATCCAAGTGCTTATTTTTTAATGACTCTCAAGGTAACATCAGTTCTTAGAATATTAGCAGAACTTTGTAGCAAAGGGAAGGCTCGTCATATGTAAGAGAAAGCAAAGAAAACATCACAGCAGTGTTATGAAGAAAGGAGAAATCTGAACAGTCTGAAATCAAGGACAAAGATGAGGGCACCAAACAGAAAACTGAATCAAAATTATTTTGACAAAAATACTCAGCTGTCGTTCAACTGCCATGTCACACTTATACTGATAAGAACAGCTGTCAGAGATGCAGTATGGAATGTGGATTGCATTTAAAGTTATCACCAGAGATGTACATTTGTGCTGCAGGAATTTGTGAATGCACCTGGATGGGAAACCCAAAATCACATGCTGGGAAGCAACGGTTTAACAACTGCTGTGGATGCTTCACGTTAAAGCTGTGAGTCGTTTGCAACGCCTGCGGAGCACTCCTGGAAACCAGACCTCCCAGCAGGGTAAAAACCAGCACAGGTCTGCTGTCAGTCTGTGCTGAGAATGACTGAGGAAGAAAATATGAAAGAGGGCTGAAAAACTCCATGCAGGGGATAAAGAAAGGTCTAACATTGACAAATAATGGTTCTGATATAAAATTTGTCAGTAGTCACAGGAAAAAAAAAATCACAAAAAACAACAGATGGGCTATTAAAAACTCTTTATTCCAGCTGTTATTGCAGTACACCGTGAAAGGGAATTCCAAGAGGAAGGGACGCTCCTGGCTCTGACAAGCCAAAGCAGAAATACACTTACCTGATTTTTACCAATAGCTGCACACCACGTGCTGTTTGTGCAGTAATGAGATTTCCATACTAAAAATGTTACTAATTATCATTATGAGGAATGCTTGAACGCTGTTCAAACACCAGATTTAAGACATAAAGACAACACACCTTACAGATGACATGCAGCCAGCACAGTTACCGGGGAGCAGAACGTTCTTAGGCCAAGCCCTCTACTGTACTTGATGCTAAATCAATTCACTGTAATGGGAGTATAACAGACCAAATCTAATTAAGATTAAAAAGTGTTACTACACTTGCATTAATTTCATCACAAGTATCTCTGGATATGATACAGAAAACCAATGCTGAAGTAACTCAGTGCTGACAGAAGTGGGTATTACACGTGCTCTTTGAACTAAAAGGCTGCAGGGACAGGGGCAGTTAAATTACAATTTACAATTATTTTTAACTTGAACATTTTAACTTTTGACCTTTTTTATTTAAGTAATGCAAGGCCCTGTTGTGCTGCCTCCTGCCTGTCACATCAGTATGAAATCTATTCCAAGCTGACAAATAACTGATCTGGGGAGAAACACATCCGAAGAATAACGTTCAATTGTGCAGCGCTGCACAGCTGTTCCTAAAACAGAGATCCAAACCAAAACCTCACTTCTATCACACATTTGCCACCAAGCAAATGCTTTCACAAGGCTAAATAATGAAGATTGTTTAAGCTCCTTAACAAATGCAAGAAAGCACAATAAAAGGGCTTGTCTTTCTCTCTCTCTCTCTGCTACTATCAATCATGAGGAGAATGCCCTGAACAAAATAATAGCCTTTTTATAAATGGCTGCTGATCTAATATTCTTTTTATAAGCATCTGCAAAACAACGTCATGCTACATTTCTGTTCAAATTTCTGTACATTTCTACTGATGCATTCAGGTAAGGTTGCACCACACTCCGCTGATGTCTTTCGACATAAACTGCCGTCTGCAAGTCAGATAAGCTGACTGCAGGCAGCCCCGTCCTTCACCTCTGATGCCAGTATTTTTCAGATCACAGTCAGTAAGACATCGCTGAGTGATATTTCTTTAAGATAAAGCTCCAAAGTGAACTCGTAAGTAAGTAAAACTAACCATCATGCTACACTCACCACGTATACACGAACAGTAAATAAAATTCCCATCATCAGTTCAAGTTCCAAGCAAAAAATACCTTTTCTTCAAACATGCCCACTTCTGGGCCATTACTGCAGAACAGCCTTAGATTCACCCAGATATACACAACATACATCTCGTTGGGCAATACACGTGCACTACTCAAGCAGAAGCACAAGCTCTTAAGTTAAAGCTCGTGTATTTGTTAACTGTTACAGCTTGAACACAAACCCTGTTCTAAAACAAGAAGACATTCCAAGGCATTCCTTGACTTCTCGGACTTCCCCTCTCTTAAGTTCTGCCATTTGGCCAAATGCAAAGTGACCTCAGAGCAGGGGATTTCTAAGGAAAAGAAACAGCAATCGGGAGGAAAGAGTGACAGGATAAGATAAAAATAGGGGCGGAGAGATGAAGGAAACAAACTAATGGAAAGACTAGGAGAAAAAGCAACAGCCGAGTAAGTCATAGGGACAACTGAGGAGGAAATAAGGAATGGAATGTGAATGGATAAGTCTGTAAAACAGAGGCTCAGGTGTGTCAGAATATACCTTTACCAGTGGTGAACTGCCACTGGAACATTAGAGAGCCAAGGGAAATAACAGAACATAAAGCCATGCAAATAATGTTCAGAATGAAAGTTAGAAAACAAACAACACACCAAAGTAACTCAATTACTTGGAAAAAAAAAATCAAACAAAAAGTCCAGCTAATGTGATTTCTGTTTCAAAATAGTGTTAGAATAATACCCCCAAAGCACCACCCTGATTAGCAAAATTTAAATGCCATGGGAAGTAGGCTGTGACCACATTAGATTGAAAATAAAAAAGCTAATATACCTCATGTCAGCAGAGGTGATACCATGATGGCAACTGAAACTGTGCAAATAGAATTACACACAAGGTTTAAGAACTTAGTATCTATAAACAAAACAAACAATAAAAAGGGAAAGAAGATGGTTCAAGAGATGGATTTACCAAGAATATGGATAATGGTCAATACATTTGAGTGAGCAAGCAGACAATTACGGTGCATTATTTTTTATGGTGTGTCGTGATGCAAAGTATTGGATAGTTCTTAAAACTGCATGCATCTTTATACAGGACTCTGCACAGTATCAATACATCTTTAGTTAGTAACAAGCTATCTACAATTGCATTTGCACTGTTATTATATTCAACCAATGTTGCTTAACATGACATTCTTTCAAGAATTTACAACTGAGTTAGGAAAACAGTGTCCAATGCAAAAAGCAGTTTGCAGGGAGCCAAGGTCCTATTCTGGTCCTGCTCTATGGTGTTGGCAGTGCTGATTTCTGCAGATACATTCATCACTCTAAAGAAACCACCAGCAGGTCGAAGGTTGACTCTTCAACCATTAAATACTGCCCTGATCTGTGCCGATCAGATCGGATGGTTCTGACAGTTCCTTCAGATTATACACTTGGATGTCACTTGAAATCTACAGTCCTATCCACTTCCATGCAATATACTTAATAGTAGACTCAGAAGAACCATAAGAGTAATTTTTCATATTTTGGAAAGAGAGTTTGAGATATCCTGAGATACAGAAACAGAAAAAGAACTCTCAGAGAAACCTCTGCTCATTGGAGGATGGAGGTTAAGTAAGAATAGCCATACGAAGGAACAACAGACTTCAGGCTTAAAGCACACACATTGTTCTCATGGTCCTCGTGGACTATGGGGAAGACTCCAAATTATTTTTGAGTTAATTGTGAAGGACACCAAACGTGTAAAGTTTCTGTTAGTATCATACAACACAAAAATCACAAAGGCACAAAAAGATGCAAGAAAAGCAGCTGCAACCACCCTTACTTAAGCTAAATAAGCTTTTGTAACAACAAAGGAACAAAAAAGCCCATGTGTGAAGAAGTATATTAACGCTGCTTTAGAAAACATATCTGGAAAAGACACACAGCATTACTGCTAATGTTCAGAGCACATCAAAACAAGCAATAAATGCCAAGGAAATAAAGGGTTTGTGGCATAAGGCAAAACGTACGCATAGAAGATAATACCTGGTGATCTCCAAGGAAATGACTTCTCAGTAGAGCTGTGGAAAGAAAAAAAGTTATCACTAACAGAACCACATTTCTAGTCAGCATTTCTTTCTTTCCTTCTAAACCAAGTGTACCAAACTGTACAATAGCCAGCAGACAAAGTTTCAGTAACCAGCACAACTAAAACTCCAACTTAACCTCTGGGTATTGGCTTTCATTTTGAACTAACTGGGAGGAAGTCCATGTAACTCACTGTCTGACAAATGACCAAAGAGTTTGGCCTTTCCATATGAGCAAAGCTAAGGGTGTGATGTATGCCTTATTAAGGCCCCACGGTGCAACCAATCCTATACAGCAGAAGTTCAGAATCGTGTGCTGGATTAGCAGTAAAACAACTTCCAAAAAGAGCATTCACTGCTGATGGCAGAGCCTAGCACAGAAGCTCGGGAATCACAGCTCCAGTGCAGTCTGCATCGACGTGCAATGCATTCTGAATAAATGAGCAGAACTGGAACCCGCACATTTAGCTGTTGTTTTTTCCTTCCCAAGATCCTAGAGAGAATTTGATCCTTCACATATGGTAAAAAGCAAAGCCATCTGACACACCACAACATGCCTACCTCCAAGTACAAACAGGCAACACATTTTTATGCGGTTTAGGTGGAACCTGCCTTGGGAAACAACTGCTTCCAGGATCCAGCAGGTGTTTATCAACTGTGTAAATCTCTACTTGTATTTTACAAATAATTATTTTACAGAAAACTATCTTAATCATTTTGATTCTTCTACAAAAGCACTCTCTCACATGCTGATACAGTATCAATGCACGACCATTTTTACAGACAAATGCTAAATTCATCCATTGGATACTTTCTTTTTAAATAAAAAACGTTGCTCCCTCACTCTACATATTGATTATCAAACTTCGGGTGTTACACCATTTTGCAACGATTGCAAGGTAGTATTTTCCAAACAAAAAACTGTTTAGAAGAAAATATGAGCACCTCCATCAGACTTCATGATGTCTATGTATCAGCAGGCAACTGGGCTGTTGGATAAGATGCATCTATTTCTGCATTATTTGTTGTACTTTTCTACTAAAGCTACCAATTATAAACAATACTTGAGCACAGCAACTTGAACAATACTGGATAAGTACTTTGCACTATAAAAACAAAGAACATTCTCTGGAGACGATGCTGTTGTGAATGGAAGTGCTAAACATGCAGTTAGGAGCTCCAGAACTCAGGTCCAGTGTCAGAATCACTAAACAGAAAGATGAACAAATCCAACTCTGTGCCAACCGGGATAAGCAACAGATTCATACAAATATCATCCTGTGGGCATAATGAGGATAACTTACACAACCAACAACTGCCTTCCCCAAAGTTCAGCACTGTGTCGATGTGAGCTGTGCTATCCCACCTGCTGATGCCCAAGGGAAGTGCTTTATTTACAGGGCTGTAAGCCTACTGCCTGGCCAGAGCTGCCAGTCAACACTTCGTGTCTGTTCACACAGAATGCTCTATCTGTCCTTCATCTGCCATGTTAAATACCTACATCAGGAGCACACTCATAAGTAGTGTGAAGGTTTAAAGCTGTGTGTAACTAAATTCCTGGTAGAGGCAGATGAAAAAAAAAAAGTATATGTTGAAATCTATATACCATAATAAACGTTACTAGTAACGAGTAATCACCAAAATAAGTGTAATGAGATTCTGTATTTTTGATTCTTTTGTTGAAAGCACAAGTTCTCAGTAACATTTGAACTAAGGATACACTTTCAAGATGGTTTTTCAGCTCCAGCTTTTCTGTAGGCACCTTCTTGCCTTCACCAACACGCCAGCGCTGCACCCGCCCTGCTGTACCACAGCCACCTCACGTCCCACGTGCAACTCAGCAGCGTGGCAAGAGCAAGTGGCACGAAGAGTTGCAGGGAGGGTTTTCAGCTGATAAAGGCAAGCCTCTCGTGCTCTGGGTAGGAATTTAGAAGGCCTTATCTGGAGCACTGCACCCAAACTTGGCCCCCAACTGGAAGGCGCTGCTATTCCAGGTTGAATCCTGAAGCCGGTGCTGACCACACCAGCCCTGCCCGGCACACAGCACTGCCTGCTGGAGCCACAGAGCACAGCCAGGACGCGGCCTCGGCCAGCCTCACCTCATTCAGCTAAATGGTGTGCAGGGGGCTGCTCACAGGAGAACAGCCCAGCTTCACAGCCCAGTCAGGACTGCAGAACACAGTAGGTGCTTACATATGCGGCTCGAGTCAATATTAATTCATTGCTCTTCAATTTATCAGCAGAGCAGCCCATCGGCAAACCACATTTTTACATATTTGAAAATCAGAAATTAAATTGTATAAAAAGCAAAATGCCTCCATTTCATGGGCATTCAAAGCTCTGACAGACCTCCAAAAATGCTTACGTCTGTGTGAGCAGAAAACAAACATACCACACCAGAGCTGTAACAAGAAAATTACCCTGTTATCTGTTTTTCTGGGTAAAAAGAACATCAAAGCGAAGTTTCAAGAGAAGAAAAAGAACAAAAAACAGAATTAAGAAAACCTAAGAACAATGCAGTTCCTGAATTGCTCCAGTTATCAGAAAAGAAAAAAAAATGTAATTAAAAAAACCAAGAAACCACATCCATTCAAGTAGAAGATGAAACAGAACACCACGGAAGGGCCGAGCGAATCCTCAGAACCACCTCAGAAGGGGATGGAGCAGCTTCCCAGCCACCGAGCTGCCCCTCAGCTGGGACTGACAGACGTGGTGCTTGAATGGCACTGACTGCTGGCAGGGCTGCTGCCGAACAGTAAAACACCCCCAGCCCTGCTGTAAGCAGCTGTTTTTCCAGTGCCACTTTTAAAGGAGCTGCAGAGCATACTGGACATGCTGGATATTTGAGTTTCAGTTGTTACCTGAACCCAATTAGGAACACACACTGAAGTGTCTGTGACAGGAGCAGGCCAAGACAGCTTTTGGGAAAGACCGGCTGCCTCTTTAACCTGCTCAGGCTGCGCTCAGAGCAGACAGTGAGCAGCAAGCCTATCAGATTGCTCCCACATTTCAAAGCCTCTGACAAAGCCTATGGCACAGTTACGTGTCTAGTCATGAGAAATTAAAAAATCCGTGAGATTACAATAAGTTACTTGATATTTTAATGACAAAAATTATCTGTAGAAGAGTCCCAGGATTTCTTCTAGCTACAGAGCTTAAGAACCTCTATATAGAGTACTGAAATCTGGAGAAGATATTAGTTTATACAACACCCTAGAATAATTCAAGTGGATAACTGAATTTTATAGGCAAAGAAAGGAATCTTTTGACCATCTCATACACAACAGAGGTTTTATGCCCACCTTAACCACTAACAAAATGCCTACAAGGAAAGACTGGATGTTGTGTTGAGGGACATGGTTTAGTAGGAGCTATTGGGAATAGGTGAACGGTTGGACTGGGTGATCTTTTAGGTCTTTTCCAACCTTGGTGATTCTATGATTCTATGATTATTGTATTTTCATGCCCAGAACAACCTAAAAACCTGAAGCCCTATGTGTAGCAAGGAAGAAACTGCAGAAGTAGACGGGAAGGACAGTGGCAATTTCTGGTACGTCAGCCCAATCAAAAAAGTAACTTGGAAGTAAGTTTCCAAGAAAACATGAAAAATCTTGAAAAATTGCTGATGCTGTTACAAAAGCAAATGATTCCATTCTTGTTATTCTTTCTACTTGGGAAATGGAATATAAGAAAAAATGGGTTCGTTTCCTGAGACAGCTCTGAAGTAAGGGCACTTCAGAGGGTAATCAGTTGGTACCGACAGAGCACGACACGGTGACATTGTTTTGCCAACAGGAGAACAAACAAGGCTAACAGTCCACTCTGATGCTTGGAAAACAATGTCACGATATCATTGCAGTCCAAGGAGTTATAAAATAAAAAATTCTTATTTTTCCTATGCAATTATTTGTAATATAGAAGACAGAAACCCTACCGCTAGACAAAAGAGGATTTATAATACCCTAAGGAGAAGTACAAAGTCTGAGGAATGTGCTCAAATGTGCCACGAAATCGGGGGAATCATACATGCAGGCAATTTCAAATAGATCCGTCAGACACGTCAGGCTTCACGAAGGCCGTACCAACACGCACGCAGCATCTGCACAGAGGGCCGTGCTCAGCAGCGAGCAGTGCTGTCAGCACACGCCTGTTGCTGCACACCACCGAGTGCCCCAGGCTGGGGATCGGCGCCCGGCTGGAAGCGTGGCAGCAGCGCTGCTCCTGGGGGGCACAGGCTCCCAGCACGGCGATATGGGGCACCGCCTGCAAGCAGAAAGCACCTGCTCTGCTGACTGCCTGACAGCATCCTGCCACTGCGTGAGAACTGATGTCTGAGCATGAAAGTGCAGTATGCAGTCTCACAGAAAACGATCAGTGTTCAATTAGAGGGCAAAACTACTGAATCACTTTGGAATATTTTCTACTACTGCAGAGAGCTCGCACTGTGCTTTAATTGGTATTGGAAAAAAGGGATTATATGTACAGAAAGCAGAGAACATAAACCATCCTGATAGCTGTAAATACATCGTTTCACAGAAGTCAAAAGACATCAGGTAAGCACAGTGTTACTCACACGTGATTGATTTAGTTTACTTAGTATTTGAAGTGTTCACTTCTGAGTTAAGCATACTGCCAAAAGGAGTTGGATTCTTTAAATGACCAAGCCTAGTGTGCCTTTTACGGCACTTTTTTTCTTAAAGCATTCAAGGCAAGCTGCTATAATGAGCCTAATACTTTACAATTAAATTAATAACTATGAGCCTTTTGGTTTCTCAGACCACACAACTTTCAAAAGCTACGCATGATAACTCATGAAAAGAGGGAGAGGAATTGACCCTGAGAGTCACACAGCAAAGTCCCACCTGAGAGGTCAGGCAATGCATTTTACAAAGAGAGTCTGACTTCTGCCCCTCGACACACACTGATATCTACCTGCATCAGCACGTACTCCAGCACACCTGGCAGCCCAGGACTGAGTCCGACTGAATCAGTAACGCTACAGACGGAAAGTTAGCTGCAGTGCAGTGTTATATGGGAGGCTGAACATCCCAGTGGCTTCTTCAGAGAAACCTGTGCATGTTATAACACGACACAAAAAAAATAAGAAGATAAAACTGAAACTTGGTATTGTTTTTCCCACTCTGTCATCTCCAATTTTGTAGCACATAATGCATTAAAAATGTTTAATACTTACATGCAACTCTAATCCCCATGTATTCCTTCAGTCTCTTAAGATGTTGCAAAACATATAGGATGGCATGAAATATAAAGGCTGAGCAAAATACCCATTTATAAATATAATTATGAGATGAAATCATTTTAACAGGCAAGTCATCTACAAGTACACAAAAATAAAAACATTCTTTAATTCAGGGCTGCAGATGATCTAATTCTTGCTCCTCTACCCATCACACTGCAGTCCCTTAGTACCTGCAGATCTGTTGCTTCTGTCAGCATTCATACCCCTCTTAAGAGAGTGAGACAGTCAGCTGTGCCTGTGTGAGGCTGGCTCCTAGAATGTAGCTATCTGGCAGGTAGCCAACAGTCTAACAAACCTAAACTGCAAACTACTGTTTGCTTCCCTTTGCTCACATGTGATAAAGCAACAAACACATTTCTTAAGGACTAACAGAAAGGGAACGAACCGTGCTTTTGCAACACCAGTCCTTCCGGGTGAGCTCCCAGGGTTTTACAGTCTCATCACTGGTGCCAACCTGCAGGGTGGCTGTAGGCATGGATGTGCAAATGGTGCCTACTTCTGCATGGAGTGTGGTCTGTCCTGTGGTGCTGTACTTCCCCATTACCACAGCTGTTACAATGACTTCCACTGAGCTGGGACTCCTGCAACAGGCTGATGAGCTGGTTCAGAAGGATGACTTGATTGAAGCATAGAACAGCTTAAAGCCCAAGCTGCAACAACCAAATGGGCTCAGAAGTACCCACGACTGGGGGACAGCATCTGTTTTGCAAGCAACATAGCGTTGCAGGAATCCAGTTTAGAAGCAAGAACATCAGAGACGCTGCCACACAACTGAGGTGAACGCAGCCTCCAGTTGGATGCCTGACATGAAACGCTCCCAGCCGCTTTAACCGCATTAAAGAAGATTAAAGCACTATCTCTGAAACAAAGTGTTACTGATTTCCTCAGGGGAAGAAAAACTGAACAAATGGTAAAAACAAGGCAGCATACACACCTCTTACTTATTTATTTTTACGTAAGAGCATGCTGGAAAATTCTCGGCTAGATGGAATATTGTTTTGCTGCGTAAGTGCTCAACTTCAGTGTGGGTCTTCGAGCAGGCTGTCAGCCATTCCCACTTGCTCTTTCAACTAAGCATTCGGTTTCCAAGCTTTCTTATGCCTCAGGTGCCCTCTTCGTATTTACTTGTCACCTTGTCAGCTAGCAAGATATTTACATCACTTAGTTTGAGGAAACACACTGATATTTTTTTTAAGATATAAATTTTGCCATTATATTTGCATCTGCTTTGAAACTCCTCCAAACTACTGTTTTACCTTAATTCTTTTGAACACTAACTTGATCAGAAGCAGCTGGTCATGAAAAAATTGAAGAATCTGATTCAAATATAGAATTTTTCTTTCTGGGACTAGATTCAGATGACATAAGACAATTTAAAAAAGGTAGAACAGCAGTCAGAATACAAGGGTGCTTGCAAAAATATATGTATATGAACATGCAGATGCTTTTTTATATGAATATAATTCATCTTTATTTTAGAATGTCTATATTTTCTACAGTTATTAATAATATTTTACGGACCTGAAAACAAGTGCATGCAGAGCTTATCTAGACACTCAAGTGCACTCACACAGAAGTATATAATAAACCAATTTATGCACTAACATTTTCTCCCTCTAAATTCTCATCAACTTTTTCATATAAGTAGATATAGCTTAGCTATAAAGAAAGGAACTAAGAACTAATGATTGTATACCAAACCATAACAACCATCGTGGTAAGCGACAGAGGTATAGATCATAGAATTGCTTGAGTCAGAAGGGACCCTGAAGGACACGTAGCCCAACTCCCTTGCACAGAACACACTGAACAGGGATGCCCACAGGTGGATCGGGAGCTCAGAGCCTGGCCCAGCCTGACTTTGAATGTCTGCAGGGATGGGGCACCCAGCACCTCTCCGGGCAATCTGTGCCAAGGCCTCAGTGCACTTATTGTAAAAAACGTCTTCTTTGTATCCAATCCCAATCTCCCTCCTTTTGTTTGAAGCCATTTCCCCTTGTCCTGTCACAGCAGACCCTGTTGAAGAGTCTGTCCCCTTCCTTGTTGCAGCCCTTTCGGTACTGCAGGCTGCTCTCAGCTCACCTCAAGCCTTCCTTTCTCCGTGCTGAACAGCCCCAGCTCTCAGGCTGTCCTCGTAGGGATTTTTGTGGCCCCGCTCTGGACGCTCTCCAACAGCTCCATGTCTCTCCTGTACTGAGGACTCCACATCTGGATGCAGTGCTCCAGGTGAGGTCTCACAGCGCAGAGCAGGCGTGCAGGATCTCCTCCCTGACTGCTGGCCACGCTGCTTTTGATGCAGCCCAGGATGGGGTTGGCCTTCTGGGTCACGAGGGCACAGTGCTGGCTCATGTCTAGCTTTCCACCCACCGGCAGCCCCGGCTCCTTTTGGCAGGGCTGCGCTCAATCCTTGCATTCCCCAGCTTGTGTTGGTAGGGGTTGTTGTCTCAACTCAGGTGCAAGATCCTGCACTCAGATTTGTTGAACCTCATGAGGTTCACCTGGGCCCACTACTCAGGCCTGTCTAACTCATACCCGTATGGTACTGAACTCTGTGTAGATATCAGTAATTGTACATGATTTTAAAAACTACACACACATCTCACTCATATTTATGTACTGCTCTTTGCTCTCCAAATCCTCTAGACTGGCACACAGAAAACATTTTCCCTTGTACACTACTCATTAAGATTCACTGAAATTGGACCTTCTGACATTCACAACTAATTAACAACAAAGGCTTTTTATTTTTTCTTCCATAAGAACTTTTTTTTTTTTTTAAATTAAGCTTTCAAAACAAAATCTGAACAATAACTAGAGCAAAGATGGACAAGCAGGAACGGCATAAAGCTGGAGTCTTGTCCAAAGAATATTTTTGAGTACTTTGAAGTTTCTCGAATAGAAACTTCATGCCAGGAACAATACTGTCAAATGAAACGTAAGCTAAGTGCTATGATCAAGTAAAACAGCCGTGTTGGATGGTGCAAGGGATTATTTATTTATTGCAAATAATCATGCCCACTTTCTTAAGGTTTTGTAGGAATAACTTTTCATTTGATTTGTAGAAATATTTGTTATGATCCCAGAAGGAAACACTATATAATGATACCTGAGTTTACTGCTGAAAGAATACAGAAACAAAGTTATCTAGAAAAAAATTACAGTATTCAGAGCAAATCTGCTATGCATATGTCAAAATGAAGCTCGCTGTATCTTGAAATGAGGTCTAAGTGCTTCATAAGAGAATGAAGTTTGCTAAGAAATTGGAAGTAAATAAATCAGCATACTCATTACAGCTGAAATATTAAACACTTTGCTAAAGTTACTGTCATCACACGTTAGATTATTAGGCATGTTTCTCACTGCCAAAAGTACGCTAACAAGAACGTGACACACGGCATTTCCTGAAAGGAAATGGAACAAGAGGAAGGATTTCAGAAGAGCTGGATGAAACCAGGTAACTAATTCAGGAAAAACAAACTGTCAGGATTACTGCATTGAACTAGCACTGTTAGTGCTAATATTTACAAGTCTACTGCATTTCTCTTTGGCTGAATCTTAAAAACAAATTTCAACATACTTAAAGAGAAATTAAAGCTTTACATTTATGTAATGAACGACTAGGCCTTTTTGAACTGTCTCATAACTCTTAAAAGCAAATCTGTGTTTTTGTACTTCAGATATTAATGGGAGGTGAACAGCTGTTAGTGGAAATACATGGATACAGGACATAAGAGGCCCTTTAACTTATGGGATACATGAAAGTGAAGTCATTGGGACTTGTACCTTGTGCTGGCGATACTTGGTGATTCTGCTCCAAGCCTACATCTTTCTAGCTGATTAGCCACAATTTGCCTTTCCACTTCCAGTTCTCTGGTAAGTCTTTGAAATTGGAGTTCCTGAAATTTCAAAAGAAAAGCATTCTTGATGTTAAACAATGGGTATGGATTAGTTCTGAAAAATAATGAGTTTCATCACAGTCACGTTACTTCTTTGGAGTCCTCCTCAGTGGAACTACTAGATGAAAGTGGGAATTTAATGGTTCTTTATATCAGTGATTCATGCAAACATTAATTATCTGCTACAAAAAGACACACGTTTAAGCATTTGTGGATTTTTTCCTTCCACAATTAAAATGTTTGGTATCTACTTATGTTGTCAATTTAAGGAACTTGGTGCCTACAAAGTCTTCAGTTTTGTTTAAAACAGAGTCGCACTGGAAAACACTGTACTCTATCCTTTTCACTTGCAAAACTTCAAATCCTAAGCTACATTACCTTCTCACTTCTTATTCAAAATTTCAAAGCCTGTTAGTTGAAATTAGTTGAGGATAGAAATGTGCTATTCTGTTCAGCTTTTGTTGTATATCTTGGTCAAAGGTACCAAAACTCAGCCTTCATGAAAGCCAGAACAGTTTTATTTTGCAACATCGTGCTCCCAGAAAGACCTGGGAAATACAAGCAGCTGCTCAGAATCTTTTTGTGTTGATGAAACCAGGAAATACTGCTTTATAAACATGATACTCTGAAATCTATACTGCCATCAAGGGGTATTAGGGAAGCTTTACTCCACTGTTAGGGTTTGCTAATTACAGATAAGGATTCTATCAGAGCAACTCTTATTATTTTTCAAGTTCATATTCTCCATTCCCTGAACATTATACGAACTGTTGAATGCTATTTAAAGTAGATGAACATCATTATTTTATACTTTGATAAATGTTGAAAATTACTGAAATATGAAATACAAGTATTCCTTTCATTCTAAAAAGTGAATTACTAACAAGCTTTTCTTGATGAATGTGTATCACATAATTATATCACATATTAGTTGCTAGCCTTGCCACATCAGAGAAGTCACTTTCACTCATGGGTTACAGTTAATGCAAACAGTTCTTCCACACCTTACATCACACAGAACGAGCCTTAAACACTTTACTTTCCTTAGTGCTCCCTGAAGAACTCTCTACTTTTTGCTGTTTGTGCATCTGTTCAGTAAGATCAGGCGTGGCTCAGCAATGCACCTATGGCTCCCATCTCCAGCCCCAGAGGCAAAGAGCTCAGAGCGCAGGAATTGATACCATGAAAGCAGGATCATCCTGCAGGACTTGGGATATGGTTTCTTCCGACCTCTGCAATGAGACTGCCTTCATGAAAGCTCCAAATATCAGGTTAATTAGCAGTGATTTCTTCAGGAAGCCACCTGCAGGCTATGCTGCTCAATACGATGAGCTAAAGAAAAAGAAATCTCCTTCCAAAGGTGTGACTTGAGTGCTGTGCAACAAACAGGCTGGTTAAAGATACGCCGTGGAACCGAGTGCCCCTCCCAGCAGGAACACATCACTGCAGGCCGTTTCAGGCACTTCTTAAAGCTCAGCAACCAAAGTGAATGAACACATCCCCACACTGTAAATACTGGCTGGCAGAGCTCATTGCCTCCAGCACGCAGAGCTCATCCACTGCTGCCATGAGACACGGCATCGCTCACAGAACAAGACTGCACTTAGCTGCTGCTCTGCTACGGCAATTGCAGCAGAGCAGTGCACTCCCTTGAATCATCAGACTGGACTGGCATCCTCACGGACTTGACACGCCTGCCCTCCCCTAATCAAATATTAATGGAGGAATACCTGAACATTCCTAAAAACTGTTAAAAATGTTACACAAGAAAACACTGAGATGGATTTCAGGGAGCCTGAAAACTGCAGTCATAAGTACAACATACTGCCGAGCTGAAAGCAGAGGTCTGACTGGATGGCAGTGGTCAAGCCCAACTTCAGGTCTCTATTGGAAGCAAAAATTTAACTTGCTTTGTTAATCAGGGTGACATTTTGGAACCTTGACATAGCTTCAGGTTGTTTTGGGCTCAGACAAACAAAATCACCATTAAAAAAAACCAAACACCTGGCTTTCCCTAAACCAGGCATTCAATCTTCTTCCATGTCACAAAGCATCCTGATTTTAAAATAGTTCCATACTTACAGAAAAAAAATCATTTACCTTTCCATGAGAACAATTACACAAACCACGAGGGCTAAGGGAAGCAGATGCACCCTAACCTGGGATTTTAATAAATTCCTCTTCTGAACAGAACTCTAAAGCAAAGTCCTTGTAATCCCATGACCTGATGCAAAAAGTATCATAAACATGACAACATGTGGACCACAGCAAATCTTACTGGGAAGGAAGGATGCACTACCAAGAAGTTCGTACAATGTGCAATGGCACTGAATAGCACAGACCCAGTCTTCAGAGTCTGATCCCAGGCCTCAGCCTGCCGCCCCTCCGTGCGATACCAAAGAGGGACACGTGCAGCCTGTCAGCTCTTGGGGCAGCCTGAGTTTTGGAGAGGAAACATAAAAGAGTGTATTAAACAAAAAAGTCAAAGGAATTTATACGTGACAATGTACTGTCCAGTTCTAATATAGACGAAACATACCTCACAGCCAATTCACCAACCCATCATTAATTAGTTAGTGGAAAATGCCCAGATTTACAATAAATGTAAATCCTGCGTTTCCAATGAAGTAACAAAGTTTACATTGAAACAATGGATGCTGACATCCGTCTCTTCTTTACTTCAGCATTTGTGACTGTAGTTGTTAGGTCTAAAGGACCTAAAGGAACTGGGGCTGTTTCATATCATTTGCATTGCCCCTACTCTTAAGCTTGATTAACCACCATTTATCCTTCATTTTGGACCTCAAAGTCAGTTCCATAAGAATAAATAAGAAGAATACACAAAACCAAAAAGCTTTTGTAATTGTTGTTTTAAATGCAGGTCATAAGCTGATAACAACAAACTTGGGAGAAGGGGGAAATAGCACTCTAAAAGAACACCTACCACTAATGTGTGCCTATCAGGTAATACACTATTTGTATTTGCAGGAAACTATTTGGATTTGTTTCTCTAGCCAGCTGCTCTGAAAGGAGTGGGATGTGCAGGATGCTCCATAGAGTGCGACACAAGGCTGCTGGCCGAGACCAACATCAGAATCAACTAATTTTTATAGCACTGGCTTGCAACAAGATGACAGGAGTCAAGTAACACAAAGAGTATGCTTGTTTTCGTTTGTGGAACATCTACGTGGCAAGGGAACACTAAAATTATATATGCAGATGACAGCACAGACTTCCATACTGCATGAAAGAGTAACCAAATCTTCTGAAACACATCCATTATAATGCATTGATCAGAGCTATCTTTTTCTTCCAAAATTGAAGAAAGTACTAATTCTATTAGTATCAGTAACATCTGCTGGCAGTAACTACTCAGTGACTTCACGAAACCAAAAAAAAGCTATCTTTTTAGTGACTTCTCAGGCAGAGGAAGCATACACGTGGTTCAAGAAACAAACTACGGAAAGGCAATCACTGACTGCAGGCAGGCAAGCTTCCAGAGCTCTGTAACTTTCCTCTTGGAGGCAGAAGGCAAAGCTTGCATGGGGTGCTGATATTGTGGTGTATACCATAGCTGACCAAAAACAGAGCTAGGAGCTCTGCTGCCAAGCAGTAACTGCTCCGCAATGATACTGCAATCTCTCACACAAGTCACTTTACAGTCTTTGCTGCCAGAAACCACGGATGAGACAATTTGTATCAACCCTGAAAACACACTGCTGTCTTCATTTCAGAGATGAGTTCCTCTTAGAAGCTTGTGGCTCTCTGCCAACTGAAAAGAAATTGTGAACACACGCTGCTTGGCTATTAAAACAAATACTTGAAAACAGGTAAGTAATGGGAATGTAATTTGTTTGACGGACATAAAGACCATTATTCTCTTTTTGCTAGCTTTGGACAATAAGTGATTTAGAACAAATTGTGTAATTACATGATAATACAGCATAGCAGAGATATGATGACCTTATTTTCATTAAGCAGGAACTTTTCTCCTTCAGTAGTACGGATAAAAATGAGGACTCAAGATTCATAATGTTGAAAAATAAAAAGAACCTTTTTCCCCACCTCCGGCAAAACACAGGTAACTTAGAGCTTTATTTGAAGGGTGGGAAGTCCAATTGGCCAACTGAAGGCTTTCCAGAGTCATGCAAGAATCAGCAGCGCTAGCACAAAGACAACACTTGTACTCGTGTAGCCCTACTCATCAGACCGGGATCAGGCCCTTGGAATGTCAGACATGATGCTCTTGATGCCACTGGGAGATGCATCTTGTAGCATCTTTCTACCAGTTCTGAATGGTACCTGAAACAAGCTGTGGCAGAATAAGGGCCAGGATGGGATGTTATGTCGAGCTGCAGTAGCGTTGTGATACGCTAAGCTGTTTGAATTGCCAAATGTCACTTTGTAGAACCATTCAGCTGAGCCTCTTTCAGTAGTTTGAGTCAATAAAAACAGCTGGCAACCTACGGAAACACAGCCAGCACTTGAAAGGAATGCTTCTCCCCAGCAGTTACTGTTTCGTGGTCAGCTTCAACACACAACACAGACCCACACAACTCTCACTGCCTGTGAAGGTATGAATGGTGCTAAGGAAAGACAACAACGTTTTGGACATTTCTAGGACACAGAAGTGCAAAAAAGCAGAGGACACACACAGCTAGGTTCATTTGCACCTTCTTCACAAAACAGGCCATGTGGAGTCCTGCATGCTCACACCTGCTGCAGTTCTGAGGTAGGTTAAGGAACTGAACAAAACACGCTGAATAAAATATTGTCCCAACTTGAATACTGTACTTCAGTGACCCGATATTTGAATTTCTCTACCACAGTCTACTGAGGCAAACACTAAACTTTTAATTAACTGCATTGGATCAGCCTTAAAGTTTTCAATAAAAAGGTTTACTCATGCACACAACCACATTTTCACACTCTCAGTATCTCAGTAGCTTCCAAAATACAAGATAGAAAAAATAAAATTGGGCAGGGTAAAGAGAACCACAGATTACAGGTTGTGAAATCACACTGCTACAATGATTGGCTGATTACACTTACTCTGTATTCAATAGCAGTAGACCATTAAAGCCCTTAATACTTCTATGCCTGCACTGTTCACTGGCCTGGTAAAACCATTTAGTGCTGCTCTAGCAGAAGAGGGATCAAAATTTAAGCAATTCATACAAAAGTACTCTTAGTCAATGACAGAAAGGAAGAACGCCACTTGAGGTATTCAGTGACTTCATTCGAGCACCATTCTCTTTGAAAACTTTGTTACAATGCAGGATATTTTAAACTGCTGCTGAAGCTAAGCACACTGTATGCAAACTGCTGCTCAGAGGTCAGTTGCTGCCGAGCAGAGGCTGGTAATGCCACAGCCTCACAAGACCTGTACTCTAATATACCTGATGGGTACTCACAGGTTCAGGCAGGCCCTTCTTCAAAGGGAATTTCTCATCAGAAGAAGCAGTGAAGACTACAGGAAAAGAATCTCAAGAGCCATCTAAATAAGACTGTACTTAGACAGCAAAGAAGCAAGAAAAAATATTAGAATGTTTCTTAGTATGTGGTTCAATGTAGTTCTAGAAAATGAAACGTTTTTACTGAAGTGCTGAAATTAAACGCTTCTAGAAAAACACTTCTGAAACCCTAAGAGATTTATGATTACACACCTACAAGCACATCCAGTCATTCTCTCTCTGTTATCACCTACTTAAAAAGGAAAAGGTGAAAAGCTGTCCATCTTTAAGTGCCAAAAACAACAAGACCATACGTATATACACACATGGTTTATCTGTCTGCCACCGTTGTGACTGCTTCTCCCTTGGCACAGAAATCAGAGGCAGTATTTTCACGTTACGTTTCAAAGCTGAAGCCATGGATAGTTCTTCCTGTGAGACCTCCTCCTCTCTCAGCCCAATCACTGAAAAGGAAAACTATCACTAAGCAGGAAATTAAATTCTAAACCATCCAGTCACACATTCGATCTTGTGTATTCAGAAGCAATTCATTTTAAATTTAGTAGCATAAAGCTTGCACTTGTAAAATGGCAGCGGTTCCAGTAATCTATAATTTCACGCAGAGAAGTAGCTGACAGCCAGCTGCCTTTGTGTTTCCAAGAAGGAGAGCAAAACCCCCAAACAAAAAGCAAACAACTGAAAAAAAAAAAAAAAAACAAAAAAAAAAAAACAACCAACGAATAAAAACCCCCCTACTATTGCTATGAAACCAAACACTGTCAAATCCATACAACTACTAACAGAAGAAACACATTTCAATCTCACTACACTTAGAAATTCCCTGCATTCAAAGAGGAAATCTGCTACCAGAAATGCAACTTTGTTAAGTCAGTTCCCACCGATTTTCATCCAAACCTGTCAGGCAAACCAAGAAGCAAACCAATCAGGTGAAGCAATGATCCTCCCTACCCCGTCAGGCTGCGATAGCAGCAGGGGCATCACGTATACTCTGTAGGGATGCGTTTTAGATTCAAAAAACTGAGCTGTGTCAGAAGAGCACAGACAAAGCTGGAAGCAGACTTGTTTTCTTCACTCTTCTACTGCTCATTACAATTAATGTTTGGTGAAAATGGCTGCTCCCCAAAAATATAGCCAAGAGACTCAGACAGCTGCCTGACAACTTTGTCTCAGTGAGGGGAGTGCTCAAAGCTCAGCCTCCAGTTTGATAACAAGGCTGCTTCAAACTGATTTGCACTCACATGAAGAAGAAACAAATGGAGAATGTATTTGAAATGGCTTGCAGGTTAAAGGGCTTATTAATTACTGTAACTTTTTACATAGTCACATACGTGCCACTGGGGCAGACGCTGCGTAACAAAGTGACTCAATAAAAGTACCTGCCTATTTCAGAACTATTACTGCAGTAATTTTAAAAGTTTTGGTCACATTAAGATTTGGTACAGTTTAATGAATAAAGTTATTTTTTCTCCCTGAACGGTGGTTCCACTCTAGTAAATGTTTCTGAAGTAATGAATTTAAGGTGTGGCAGCTCTATTGTACAAATACCAGATCCACTGCAAATACAGAGAGATTCCTGACTAAAAGGAAGTTGAGCCATAGTAAACATCACACTAGCTTCTTTTCAAGCTTAATAAAGTAAATAACTGCACTGGAAAATATTCTGTTCTGGGCTTTCTGCCATACAGGAAGGGTGTTGAACATGTCAGTGTCTGTCTGTAATTAATATCAACAGAAAAAAATAACCAAAAGCTGCAGATTGGTTCTTACTGCCTTCACATTATTTCCAAGGGTGAAGCACGACTTTCCTTCCACCCATTCTAACATGCCTATATGTCTTTACAGAGCTGGACCACAGTTTTGATGTTTGTGTTTCACCAACTACAAAAACACAACTGTAATTTTTTTTTTCCTCTTGATCAGAAAGGAGTAACTTAATAGTCCATATATTAATGGTCTTTTTCATGAAAATGAGAAGAGGTTTTAATCTCCTTTTTAAAATGAAGAAATATTCCATGTCAATTTTTTCTCAAAGTAAAAGATATAAAAAAAATGGTTTTTGGGTAAGAAAGGATATGTTAGCAACGCCTTTTTTATATACACTTCTGTATCAATTTGATGTAGAGAATGCTGTCATAATGGTATGTTCATCTTAAACAATATCACATTAAAATTGCACAAAGGCACCTCTGGATAGCAATCCCAGCAGTTACTGGCTGGTGATCATTGGGAATTGCAGTGCTGTCATTTACTGCAGTGCAACTCGCCATCTGAGCTACCATTTCGAGCTTTCCTTTGTCCACAACAAAAGAAAATGGACTAACTTCAAATCACCACAGACGAACTTTTGGCAAACAAATTCTAACTGACAGTTGTGATAAGCTGACATCACAAGACCAACAGTGTTTCACATGAGGTGACTCAGGATCACTTTAACCCAATTGACTGCAATTACTCACATCTTGATAGCCTCAGGCATTAATTTCCTTAACGCAGGAAGATCAGTTTCAACACCACCGAGAAATGAACAGGCTGCCTACTTCCATCTCAAGAGCTTTTGAAACAAGTATTCAGCCATGAGAACGAAGATCTAAGTTTCATCATCTTGCAGAAAGTTTTCATTTAAGACTGAAGGTTCCACAGGTACCAAATCTGTTTGTATCCAGACCACATAATTTAATTCTTGTTCGGTTCTGTTGGTGTTTGTTTTGTGTTTTTTTTTCGTTTGTTTTAATATCAATGGTAGACAAATAATAACGTATCAAGTGCTTACACTCAGGGTTGAATTTATCAGGGTAGCAATTTACCTTAAAATGTCTAAAACAGACACCAAAACACATTTATTCTGAAATTTGTAAGTTACAATTTCTGTACTAACCCAAGAGAGACGATGATCACCTATTATTCTGACAGTGAAAACCAAACCATTCTCTCTATTCCTCCCCCCAACAAAATCTTCAGTTAGCGTGTCTCCTTATAAAACACTGCACACAAATGCGTGCAATGGACAAAAGGGTCTGGATCTCAGAACTGCATCAATTCCACAATGTTGGTGGATTATTTTCCCTACATTTTTGCTTAAACAATAAACCTGCATCTCAAATCTGATTTATAACAGCGCACGCATTGCAATGGGCACCAAATACCACAATGATGATTCTCTTTACTGCAGTTAAATGATCCCTTTCAGATTCTAATATCTGACCTATAAGATACACTACATTAACAGAAGGAAATAAATTTCAGAAACAATGTTTCTTTCCAGCAGTGTAGGAAGAAATGATGGCTACATCTGAAAGAGCAGATTTCTGAACTACTAAAACCAAGCCCGTACCTGTTCCTTCACAGAAGCTAAAATGGTAGTGGCAGTGGCCTCCGGCTCCATTCCTGGGCTGGTGGAAGTTTCCTGCGTTGTCTGCAGCCCTTCTTCCACCATTGGGGTCTGCTCAGGGGCTGGCATTTCGCCTGCAATAAAAAACATTTTTTAATAGTTTACACTTTTTGCCAGGGACATTCAAGTAAAGAAAAGTCTTCAGCATTACATACTCTCATTTTTTCTAAAATCTTTTCAAACTTAACCAGAATGGCAGAGAACGTCAATGTATGTCAATATGAGTACTGTGCTATTATTGTGCTTCATCTTCACAAGCTGAAATCAGAGCGAAGTACAGAACATAAGGGGCAAGCAGACATTACCAGGCAGCACAACGTTTAAAATTTATTTTAAATAAAATATGACATTGTAACAGTTAACAAACACAGCAGAATCCAGGAGGTAAAGTGAACGCTAGTATTATGCTTGTATTGATCCCACGTCTTCCTACTGCCTGTGACGTGCCTCTGCTCCCTGCCCATGGCGTGGCCAACAGCCACAGTGCCACCTCCAGGTGCCCAGGCAGGTTTACCCTGTGCTGAAATGCCTGTGGGTGAGTCTGAAGGTGACTTTCTCACAACTGGTGCCAAACTTACCCTTGGAGAAGACACGTAAAATGCTATCACACTGTTTGCACGCACTATGTTATACGTGATACTACAGACTACCTGCCTTGCCAAGTATCACCAAACGAGCATCTGCCCACGCGTGTCTATTTTTGACAGAACACTGTTATCCGTCATCCATTTCAATCTTTTAATACAAAGGCGGCCACACCAGAATCTAACCTTAACCCTGACACACATCTGAAGTGTCAAAGACCCTGTTTCTATAAGAAACAGTTCAACATTACAGAAGGTGTAACATAAAAGTGCTCTGAGGGTTATACAGAAAGGTTTTGAAGAGCCAAAGCAACCGATTCTACTTAAGATTCTGAAAAGGAAAAAGTAAGCTTTTAAGTAAGAGTCAACTCTTTCACTGAGCCATAGTGGCCCAAAGAATTGTGGAACATGTTTGGATTGCCCAGGTCCTACCTGAAATTTTAAATCATTTTCCACATCTCTTTTATGACTACAACTCAGCACTGCAGCTTTCTAAATGGATTGTTAAGTTTGCAAGCATGTCATGAAGTAATGAAACTACAGAGTCAAGCTCTTCCTTAATTTAGAAGCATTTGTTAAGAGATCATAAAGTCAAACCTCAAAAGCCCTCCCGAGTTACAACTGTGGGACGCATCCCAGTGCGTCCTGACCTGAACTGCAACCACGGGGCACCCACTGGGTGTCAGGAGAAACGCAAAGCACAGGCAACTAATACATAAAACCACATAATTTAGGAGATGCAGCACTACTTTCTCAATTGAACAGAGTTACACATGCCTGCAACTTTAGCTCAGTTAAATATTTAGTGATCACACTTTTACATCTTCAGCTCTTTCTGAAGGTTTACCTATAGGTCACCGGAGATAAGATATATCTTAAAGCATTAAATCAGTGTAATACTTATTCCATCAAACTAAAGAGATTTCTTGATTTTCTTCCCTTTAAGGCAGAAGGGGGAGAAAAGTGCAGTAATTCTCTACGTTAAAAAAAAAAAAAAAAAAAAAAAAAAAAAAGGAAAAAGAAAGAAGAGATGAGCATGACAAGGTCAAGCTATGATGTCCACGGCTTTCAAAGTACAGTGTCCAAATGAATACTTAAACTCAGACCAACTAAAAATCTCTACAAAAATACAGTGTAACATGCACTGCTTTTTCTCCTCTGTAATTTATTTGGTCGCTTCCCACTGTGACACTGAATTAGATACCCTGCCAACCGCCTGTAATAAACTCGTGTAGCAATGCAGTCAAGGAAACGGACACCCAGAAGGCACAGACATTTCCCTGATCAGGAAACACACATTGAGATCATATTCATAAAAATCAGGTGAACAGGAATCAAATTAATTACTAATGACAATATCAGGGTTAAATGTACATCTGCCTCAGTGCTAAGAGGTGTCATTAGAGAGATATACCTTACCAGACAGGCAGCTGTTTTAACTGCTGCCCTTTCAATTAATGCTTTCCTTGGCAAAGTTATTGACTTTCTAACCTCGATACAAAGATGAGCCATCTGCTGGCTCGGATCCTACACACAGCTGGGTGCACAGCTCACCTCACCCAGCAGAATGCTCACTGCCTGCTGGGGCAGCTGGGCAGCACAGAGCGGCACGGGGCCACGCTGCAGCACAGCCTGCAGAGCACAGCGCCGGATTGCTGCTGGAGGGAGGGACCTCACCTGGATTCCTAACACCTGCTCCTAAGTTTGAAGTTCTCCACTTAAAAGTAAAAGAGAGAACAGAAATGGTGGCCATCTCGCTGTTGGCTGGATTTCCCAACTAGAAGCAAGCCAGAAAACAAGTAAAGCCATTCAGTTTGAAGTCTGTAGTCTGAAATAGTCTGCTTTTGAAAAATGGCAGCCTTCCCTTCCTCTTCACTATGGAAGCTCCTTAAATGGTTTCACGAAACCATGCAGCAAGATGGATCGCTGCAAACGGAGCGGAGACAACTGCCTGGACTTGCTGGAGTAAACTGTCTCTGCGGAGGACGCCTATTGCCTGCACTGCGCACGGTTAGCTTGGTCACCCAACACACAGAAGCACTGAATCCCGACAACCTCCTAGACATTCCCCTTGCCTACAAAAGCAGCAGACTCCTTGGCTCCCAGCATACAGCGGAGCAGATTCATCAGCTCTCTTTAGTAGCTTGCCAGTCCTGGTTTTCCCACTGGACCTCCGAGCATGCAGTTAAGTTCTAAGTTGCCAAAATGGGTATTTCTTTCTCTTGTGTCTGTTCGAATAGTTAGACAGCTGCAAAGCAAATAGGTCTATTGAACTGATCCAACACAAAGCTACGCTTGTTCTCTGTTCTTCCTTCCCCCCGCTCTCCCAAGGTGGGAGGAGTTGGGTGGTATTCTTCTGTCCCAGCAGATCTTGCAGCCATATAATCATTGACAAAAGGAAGGACCCAGAATACGATTGAAGAGAAAGAAGAGATATGAGAAATCACTGGACTGAGGGTAGGAACCCACACATCAAATCTTTCTCTCTAGTTTCTGCTCCCCACCTTTCACTGCCCCTCCTGCTATTTTCACAGCAATATCCAATATATTTGTGAGAGCAATCGCTGTCCTCCTGTCTGCACCCCAAGAACCCAGACCTTTCTATTTTCTCTGCAAGACAGTTAAAGTGGTACTTTTCCCCCACAGCTTCTTCCTTACTTCCTTTCATATTCCTCTTGCCTGCCTTATTCTCATGATTCTCTTGAATTTTCTCCTTGCCTTTGTTCCCTGTTTCTGAGCCTCCTACTGCTGACCTGAAGTCAAAGTACAATAAAAGCCAAAGCAATTCCTGCTGAAGAGGCAATGCAATTCTTACAAACAGCCAACTAGCACGGACTGACAGTATGTATCACATGGCAGAAACACAAGGAAAACAGCAAGCAACATCTCAGCACTAAAAATCCTCAACATTTTATCCCCTTGCACAGATCACAAAAGCAACAAAAAAATGGATTATATAAAAGATATCTCAGCACTACAAAAAAAAGAAGGGCTTTAAAATTTCCAGACAGACCAAGAGTCAATATACTTCAAATATCACACGGAAGGCTAAGCGTTCTGTTAAGACATGACCTTTCTATAGGGACACTGCTAGTGCACGAGTTTTGTGCAAATGGATTTAATTATCCGACGAAAACATGGAAGAAATTGACTTTGAAAATGACAGCATAAATGGTCGAACAATTGTACAAACTGAGGTCCTCATTAATAAAAGAGACCTCTGTGCAACTGAAACGCCACTTGAGAGGTGTAGATAGTTTTACTATCTTATTATAAGTTAGCTTTTTCTTCTTTATCTTTTCAAGATATATTTTCTCTTTCATCCTTCTCTATGTCCATACAAGTTTAAAAGGTATCTGGTGCTACATTCTTTTAGAAATATTAAAAGAGTCACCCCAGCTTTTGGGTAAACAAGTATTTGTTACAGCTCCTAGTAAAAGACAGTATTTTTTTTGCCGATGGCAGCATACTTCATTCTAGTGAGCAGGCAAGATTCAACATTCACAAATATCCAGTTGTAACACGCTCACACCATGAGTTTTTACAGCTTTCAAACCAACCATTCAAAAGAAGAGATCAGACAGGTACAGCGGGGCGGCCATTTTGAATGAGCGCCTGTTTACGATCGCATCTTTCGGGGCCTGAGGCACCATCTGTGGCTTGCCTTAAAAAAGAAGAATTCTTACATCTGAAGGATGTCTGAGGAGCACTCATGCTTCACACAAGCCACTTGGCAAAAAGTAGAGTTTCAATAGGCTAAGCCATCAAGGCTCCTGTGCCTTTAAGATGACACAGACCTCAGATCTGAAGCCCTCCTCTGGACCTTCTCCGATCTGCGCTGCCCAGCACAGTTGGGGTTGATGATGTCTAGGACAGCATATTAGAGCACACTGCTCAAAACTGGTTACACAGGCTAGAAAAACAAAGAGGAGACTTATCTGGAGTGACAAAGGCCAGTCTTACCGTGGCACAGACAGAGGGGGAGAATGGCTATACGGTGGCACAGACAGATTTGTGCATTTTTTTCCCCAAACACTATCAAATGACAAAGATATTCATCAATTATTAATTTAAAATTCTCAGTGTCGCGTTGGAACGTTCTCAGTCCTGGGTATGGAGCTGCTCAGAACGAACGCTGCACCACGTGTAACTAAAACACTTCTGGCTTTACCTGGATACTTTCACAAGTTCCTTAAGGCGACCGATGGGTGCTCCTGCTCAAACGACTTCCATAACAACATCATATTCCTGAGTCCGTGTTGTCCAAGAATAACTGCCAAAAATCATGGCTATGATTAGCAAGAACCTTAAACAAAACAAATTTTTCATCAACTGCTGAACATTTTACTCTTAGTGTTTCCCTGAAACAGAACTACACAGCAAAACTCAGCGCTGCTAAGAAGGCTCCACGTGCAAACTTCTACGCACAAGTTAGTTTGAAATTTTACACTTAAGGAAATTATTCTCTATTTTCCAAGCCTGAAACTTAAAAATTGTGCTCAACCATATCTATGTAGGCACACTCAGATCAAGAAGTTTTGCCATGCATGAAAACCTCTTTTCCTGATGGCACTTCTGCAAAAAGTCAGGTCAACGCTACATTAAATAGCACCAGTAATTCTAACTGCTCTCTGAACAGACATCCACGAGTGCCAGTTGTACACAGCAGTCAGAAAATTCATACTGAAGGAATTTCAGCCTTTCAAGCGGCCTTCCTGGTCTGCTAAGTTAAAGAAGCACACCCAGCTCTGCGCACCGCGCTCCAAGTTGAATGGATCGAAAAGTCACAAGAGTCCAATTGAGGCTACGCAAAAATACCTGTGGGAGTTGCCTGTTCTTGGATATAAAATAGAGACTGAGGGAGAAAACTGATTAAGAGCTGAAACATTGAAGTTACTGCATGAAAAGCAAAACAACCAACAAGGATAACATCTAGAAGCCACACTATCTTCTTACCAATGATAACAACTGTGTCAGTATCTTCTCAATAGGATACTGAGGAACTCTCGCTCCCTTCCAAATTCGGGCCAACTTCATGTTTATACTTTTTCATAATTACTCATAAAACAACATTTCCATACTCATAATTATGATTTAGACATCCCAGACAATTAATACAAATATATTTAAATAAGCAAATCTATTTACAACCAAAAAGGATACAGACACGACCAGTTAGTTTCACCACACTTCAACGTGAAGCTCAAAACGGGGGCCTTAAAACACAGCTATCAAAAGCAAATCCTCTCAGTAACACGAGGTAGTTGGAGAATTACACAATTCTTAGTCTTAGAATTCAACAACTAATTACTGGTCTAGGGGATTTCCATTTTCAAAACAGAAAAGCATAGTGCAAGCAGGAGCAGGCAAGTCCAGGACAACATCAGTATAATAACTCAGGAAATGCACTCATGGATGACAACAGCAGAAAAGAATGCACTTCCAGACTTTGCAAGATTGCTATTTCATATAATGTTTAAGCAGTAATTGCAGTTAGAGGCATACCTTTCCATTTTTAGAGTGTCTTACTTTTGCTTTATAAAAATGCCTACAATTTCAGAGAGCTGATAGTGAAGTAAACTGCAGACACCAAAGCAAGGAACAGCAAGCAGCTGACAGGAGCACCCCAAGCCAAACAAAGCCTGAATACCCTTCAGCAGAAAACAGTACTAAACCAACTCCTACTTTAAAGAGAAATAAACAAGAAACACATGTACTACAATGCCACAGGAGTTGAGAGTTTTACGTGTACCATTTGTACCTGGCAAAAAAGGAAACATTTCACTTATGCCACTTATTAGTTATCTTTTCAATACCATATGCAGCAGAACAAATTACAGGCATTAACAGGATCCACCTAATTGCATTTTTTGTTCCCCTTTTTGTAAGAGAGACTGTTTTGAATCCAAAATTTCTCAAATGAAGCCTTTCAAAGGCACGGAAGAGGAATGAGAAGGTTTCACCTCTCTTTCCTTTCTCTTTTAATGCTCACCTAATGAGTTCTCTGTTGGTTAAGTTTGCACAGGGCCAGATAGAAAAAGCTGCCAGCAACAGAGCAAACGCTGTCTCAACATGCCCAGCAAAGGAGGGGCACAAACAGGGCTCAAAAATCTGCCATACGCTTCTTCCCTTTTACAGGAGTATATATAGCACCTCTTTTTTTTTTTGCCCAAGGGAAACACAACAACAAGTAAATGAAAAGTGTATCCATTACGTAGCTGGAACATAACATCTGCATATAAAAGATGTTACTTGAAGAAATAATTAAAAGGTTTCTTGCTCGCAACAGCAAGTACAGTTTGTAACTTGTTTCTCTACAGTATCTGCTAGTTAACTCCAAATAGCTCTCAACACACCTTCTGACAAACATTTTTAGAATTTTTTTTATGTGCTTTAAAAATAGATTTCAGTGAGGCCAGTAATGCAAACTTCAGAACAACATATCCAAATACGGAGAGGTAAGCGCAGGCTCGTCACCACCTCGTCCCGTCTTTGCCTGGTTTTAATACTGATGCTGCTTGCCAACATCCTCCCGCTAAGGAACAGAAGGGCACAGTTCTGTTAACAGTTGTGTCGGACACGGAAACAAACAGACGTACCTCAACTTCCTGTTTACAGTCACCTGAAGAGGCGGCGTTTGCTCGAGCTGAACTGATGGCAGAACACATCTGCGGTTTTCTGGGTCATTTCGGTCTCAGCCCAGCGAGGGGCCGTGGGGCCCAGAGCTCCACCAACACCTGGCAGCTGCCCACTGCAGGACGGTGCTGCTGCTGCAGGCCCAGCACTGGAGGAGCTGCAAAGGCCTCCCCTGCGACGCCTGGTGCCGCAGCACCTGCAAGGCCGCGCCGTGTGCCCAAGGCCGGCTACAGCCCAGGCTGGGGCAGCGCAAGGGAGCCAGGCCTCGTCTGGGAGAATAGAGCTTGTGGCTTCCAAAGCCTTCAAAGGCAAAGTTGCCACCACCACCACGTCTACTTTCAACAGCAATTAGAATATAAATGTTCACGCTAAGGAAAGGCTGGTAGTACTGTTATGTGAACATAACAGAATGAACCACGGCACCAGCTTGCGCACTTCGGAGAAATCTTCACAAAAGAAAAATGTCATTCACCAAGACAGCACGACAACCTTCAGCTTCCCACTGAATTCTGATGATCTGATGACCTAACTTCGGTGATGGCCTATTTGCAACAGATGGAAATACCTGGGGCCATGCCAAGTACAGGCTCTAAGCTAAAATTTCAACAGGAAAGTTCTCCTTAATAAGCTACTGATTCTGTGTCTCTACAAAAGATTGTGCCATCACATTTCCAACATAGTAGTTATAAATTAATGAATAAATCAATCAGCTAATTTTAAGACACAGAGATGAAAGCTACATTCCAAGGACAGGAATAGTTGCATTACCAGCCTTGAACCTTACAGAGATGTCACCTCTCTGGAGGCTGCACTGCAACCGGTCACACAAATGCATTCCTTCACTTGGGAAAGGACAGATCTTAGAGCACAACCATTAAGCACCTTCGTGAATCTGCAACAGCAGAGAAGGATTCTTGCGGCAACCTCTCTAAAACTTCAGGCTGGAGTTTCTATCGGAAACAAATAGTACTCACAGCTTTTACTTTTTAAGATCCAGCTTCTCTAGACCCATTTGTGTGTGAATAATCAATCATGCTAATGGTGGAGTGCAGGTTTTTCATGCATATGGTAATTAAAGAGCAACTAAACCCACAAATAGGTTACTTAATTAACAAATTCAAGCCCGAAAGATTTAACAGAAAAATCAAGTTGCCTACAGAACTCTTCTTCTCAAATGAAGCTGTAGGGCCACCCCATGGCATCCCCTCAGCCTCCTCTGCTCTGGGCTATCACACTGCTACCTCCAATTTATTTTTTCTTACAGCAAAAACGTACCTTAGTATATAAATAAAATAGCATCTACCATAAAGGAAGTCAAGCTACTTAAATCACATCAGTTAAAACAGCAGAAGGCAGCCAGCTCCTCTGAGATGTGTTTAATTTACAGTCAGTATAGTTTTGATTCATTTCCCACTGGAAAATATCAATATCGTGGTGATCTGCTTGCCTTCACACTGTGACAGGACCATTTTAATTAGAGCTCTTAAATAAAATATATACAAATAGCTTCACATAATAGCTAGGCCTATTAGCCTACAGTCTTACATTTAGCATCCATCCATAGCATTACAACAACGACAAGTACATCTGGACAGACACAGAATTTTTAGAATCACACATTCAGGTTCCACACATAGTTGAGTACTTTATGCACAGAAAGTTTGCTGACATTTCTGCAGACAGAGGTGCTCTCGTGCCATTCACAAACCATCAAGACGGACAGACCAAGTCATACACCTGCTGTCTGTGTCTGACAGGATACTGACGGCAAAAACAGCAACCACAACACATTTAAACACAAAATCTTCACGGTTGATATCCCACAGGTTAGAATCATAGAAGGGACCTGAAAGGCCATCCAGTTCCAAGCCGCCTGTCACAGGCAGGGCTGCCAAGCGCTGTAGCAGGCACTGATCAGGCTGCCCAGGGCCCCATCCAACCTGGCCTTCAACACCTCCAGGGATGGGGATCCACAGCTTCTATGGGAAAACCAGAGATGCAAACCAAGCTGAAGGTGACATTAACCTGCCTAACTTGAGACCTCGCCCCAGACCTCACAAGAGGTGAAATAATTTGTAGAGTTTTTAGTTAAATGGACAAACCAGTTATCTTTCACTAACGACTTTCAGTTGACCTTACAAGCAGCACACTGATACTTCAAGATTAAAGGTGCAAACTGACGTTTGAAAATAATTAGTTCAAGCTACTGCAGCTCCCTCTTCTAGTCCTATGATAAGAATTCACATTTTACATTCATCTGGAATAAAAACGGGACCCCATCCTGTCAGTGTACAGCTAGTTAAAATGGCTAAGACCACAGCTACTGTAACCAACCCAAAATAAGCAACACAAGAGGAACACACAGCTGTAGCTCCCACAAGAACTGTTAGCTTATAGGGGGAGGCACTGAATGCCCTTTAAGAAAGTGCACACATAAATGCACACATAAATCACCATTCTATCTGAAGAGAAAGTACAAATCTACACAAGTTCTACACTGTGAAATGTTTGACATCCACACATTCTTTGGTCTAGATGAAATGAACTTGATGTTGGCCAGGTGAGATGCACAGCCACCAAATCTCCTAACACACACTCCTAGGT